AAGTAGGTTTCATCATTTAGTTTGAATAGATCCGTTCTAACTAACCAAACCAAGGTCTTTTATGGCTAAGCAAGAGGAAGAGGGATCAAAGACATGGGTCTGATGTTTCCATCAGTGTCTCTGAAATAGGCCAAGCCATGTTTTTTTTATTCATGTTTCAGGTCAGATAGAGTTTGCACTGAATTGGAGAGAAAAATGAAGATAAAAAAATAAAAATCAAGGGCACAGAATTATCAAGGAGGAAAGGACAGTAGATGCTGATGGTTACCAACGTCATGAGTGGCTTTTATCCTCTCTGAGAGCTGCAAAGAGCAGAGAGGCAAGAGCAAATACTCACTCGTAATATACTAAAAAAAGGGGGGAAAAAAGATTTATGTAAATATTTGACCACAACACCCAGATCCAGCAGATCAAACAACCCTTCAGAAACACCAGTGTTTGGTGTGGCTCGCTTCATGTGGGACTGAATTCACAAATTCTGATCTGTGCCGTCTGAAACCTGTTTTATAAACCGTGCGTCTCAAAAGCCAGCCGGGAAGGGGAAAAAAAGCAAGAAAAGCAAGGCTGTCGTGACAGTACCTGACTTGGTTCTATTCATACGTTTTATAAACACATGCCCACAGCGGCCCGTCTCCCCTGCTGCCTGCACACAGAGAGCACATTCTTCCCAAAACGGGCACCATGGGGAGACAGGAGGAAAGACTGAGGGTTGGGGGGGGGGGCAAGCAGACACACTTCAACTTGCAGGAATTTTTCAACCACTTTGACTATCGTGGCCGTGCTGAAGGGCCAGGGCAAACACAGCATACGGTAATCAGATAAAAACAGACTGGGTTTTGACATGATGAGCGGTGCGTTAATGACCCCCCCCCCCCATCCCTGGCAGGATAGGAGCATTCCTTGTGCACACACACTGGGAAGGATCTTTACGTGGCTCCTGTCTCACTCTGCTCCCGTCTCACTCCCCTCACTCTGGGGTTGTGAACTTTGAGAGGCTTCGACAATGTGGGAGGGCGTCGAATCGTGTTCGTTTTTCTTTTTTGGGGCTGATCTGTTTTCAGTTAATCAGGCGGCAGCACAAGGCCCGTCTGTGTTCCTGCTTTCTGACTGCACCCACAGCCGACTTGCCACGCTGGGGCTCAGAGAGGCTGCTAACATGCAAACAGAGTTATGAATATGACTCCAAACGGGGCGCCCAATGTGTTGTGTGACAGAATAGGGTACAGACCACATAGAAAGTATACCTACCCCCCTGAGAAATTAACTGTACAACTAACAGATGTGCTCAGTGGGGCTGGTTTCAATTCCCCTCTCCCAGGAACTGCAAATTAAGCTGACTTAACAGAAAATCCCACCACAACCAAACAAATAAGCCATTTCTGTAAGCAGAAGATTCCCTCTTCTCCACAACCTCTGCCCAAAGTGGGGTCAATGGGGGAGGGGTGTCCTCCTCCCCCCCCCCCCCCCCCCCATCTCCATTGGAGCCCCCTCGACTCCCCAACAAAGTTTACTTCCACTTCTGTAAATTCACCCCTCACATGGTGCTGCTCCGATTTCAGGGGCTCTATTTCTGCCGTTGCATTGAATTCAATCACTTGAATAGCGCCCAGGCTCCTAGTTCAACGTCGAGGTTCAAATCAATGGCAGGCGGTCATTTTTTTGCCGTGTCTTCACGCGCCGTAAAAGCACAGGAGGTAAAACACGCAGCGGTTTTAAAAAAAAATTGGTTTGGTTTAACGTACCGTGGAGGCAGATAAAGCCGGCGGCGTACATCACAGTCAACGGGGTTCCTCTCCTGATAGTCCTGCCTCCGCTCCGCCGAGACTGGCTCCGTCCCGGTACGTCCATGACCGACCTGGTGCTGTCCGGCGGGTGACCGGGGGTGTCCTCCAGCTGCTCCGGGGAAGAGTCCGAGCCTCCAGCGGCTAACGTAAAACTCGCGTGTCGCCGCGCGCGCGCGCACAGGTGAGACAACGACTTCGTCTGCTCGCCTGCTCACCTGCTTTAATCAAGAAAAAAAAGGGCTTAAACATGCGAGACCGACGCTTCGGTTAACAGGCCGACCACATAAACGGCTCGACGAGTTCAGACACGGCAGCCGCGCAGAAAGTTTGGAGAGAAGTTACAATTTCAAGGTGAATTGTAAAAAGGGAGAGCTGCAGGAATTCAGGCTGCGAGTGACTCCGTCCCACCTGGTGTGTGATAGCGCTCGCTGCCTGTTCCCCGAGCAGCCGACCACCGGACCCGCTTAGCCTTCTGGAAGAGTGAGCTTGGCTCGGCGGTGTTTCCAAGTTGGCGTCCTCCCACTTGCCGCTTAGTGATTCCCCCCCCTCGCCACACATCAGCGTCAAGCGGGTGGAAACCAAACGCATTACTTCCTGTTTGGTATTGCCAAAATAAACATCACGAAGTCGATTTTCTTCAACATTTCGTTCAGCATGGTTCACTCTTTCAAATGTTTGTCTTGCTATAGGCCCCTTTAACCGTCCTTAAACTTTAGGTATTGCTAAAAAAAACTTTATATCGATTTAGCTGTTCATGGTTGAGGATCAAAAGAACACGCGTTAATGTTCCGAAATTTGCTACATCCTGTTTGAAGCTGTAGATTTGTTGCACGTTGACAGTTATTCCCTCTCTCCCCACAGAGCGGCTTCCGGAACTCGTGTCTGACCCGGGATAAGAGATACAACACTGCGACCCTCTGGTTCACCTGGATCACTGAGGCTCCATAAGATTTTTTTTTTGACAAACATAACAAATACGCTTTCAGTGAATGAATAGAATATTTTGGCAATGGATTAAAGAGTGTTCATAAAGCAAAAAAACTTCAGTTGGTTGACTGTATGTCTGAGTGATCAAGCATGATACGTAGAGTAGAAATGGACAGCAAGAGCAGGAAATGGCTACTTAAAGACTATCCATTTATCTCTTTTTTTTTCTTTTTTTTTTTTTTACAGATGAATCTCAAGAAGATGGACACTTGTAGAAATAAAGTACTTTGCTCTCCTAGTCTTTTTTCATTCACACACGAGGTAGAAAAAAAGAGTCTGAGTCCCTGTCATGAGGGAACAGGAGGCAGAAGTTACATCACGCTGTTATTGGGAATGTCTCAGGGCATGGTGTCAGCTCTGCTACACTAATGAACTCTGCTACTGACTTGCAGTGAGCCGGCAGAGGGAAGTCTGACAGCTCTCAGCAGAACTTAAAGCGTCACATGAAAGCTCTGACACACTGAAAGATTAGCCATGTGCAGAGAAAAACCCCAGGCTGACTTCAGTGGGAGGAGGAAGAGGGAGGGAAACATGTCCCATTTAGCAAAGTAATGAAGTTTAAAGTTCCCACGCTCAGGTTAGATACTTACTTTTTTAAGATCAACAGATGCCTCATAATTAAGGCTCTTAAGGCATGAAAGTACTGCAAGCTTACCATTCACCGAATAAGTCTCTCAAATCCAGATGCTTTTTCTTCTATCAAATGTAAAAAAAGAGGAAGGTCAGCTTTGCATGAACATGTGTAAAACAAAATGGAACTTCTTTAAATGTATTTAGTTGTCACAGGATATGAAAGAATTAAAAACAAAATATCTGACTTTAAGCAGGCCTCAATAGTACAGCTTCTGTTTAGTAAAAAGGAATGGATCAAATAAAATCTGTGGATCAAAAAAATAGCTTTTATTCATTGAACCAGATCACACAGAATTGTTATTGACATGTTTTTATAACAAGTGTGCTCCTAACAGATCTACATGAGTGCACAATGAAGAACTATTACCACTGGACACCTACTGTGTTTCTCCACAGAAGTACTGCAAGCTTACCATTCACCGAATGGTAAGCTTGGATTTCCAAGTCAACTGCTTACATTAATGATGACGGATGAAATTAAAGCAAATTTAAACCGTTCAGAAAATATCATTACAAGATGTTCCAGTTATTTTTCTCCAGAAACTTCGGTAAAAATGCAAGTCAATGTGCAAAACCCTACCGCCGTCATGCCTCCTAATCACTGTAAACAGTAGCAAGCTAGAGCAATGATGGACACAGACGCATCGGGGCGAGTCGCTCATGGCACCAAAGATACTTTAGAAACACACACCAATCTGTTTCAAGCAAAACAGTGAGGCCGTCATAGTTCACTATATACACAATTAAAATTGGAGTATTTCAATGTTTCCATCATCCAGGCCTCTAAGACAACACTAAATGAGACTATTTAAGTTTTTCTCCACAACAGATCAGAAACAGAAAAAAAAAAACACACACACACCTCACAAAGATTTAAGCAGCAGTCTTTCACAGAGATATGTCAATGTTACACCAGAGGAGTCAGACTTAAAATAAAAAATTTTAGGATAAACATTTTACCCTGTTTCCAAAAGCTTTAACCAGCACTTCATATGGTAAAGAAATCTCAACAGGCAAGAGAATCATGGTTAAAATTACATGGATTTTTCCAGCAGTGTTAATTAGTTCCTCTTTACATCATCCCATCCCAACCCCAACATGCCTTATCATCTTTGTCTGAAAACAGTTCTACATCTTAGCTTTATTTACACGGCAGAAATGTGTGCCGATTGAACAACGGAATGGCACAGAAGACACAGCCAGTGTGGAGTCACTGGCGTGTGAAATCAAGACAACATCAGGAGAAACATTTACCAGCTCGGGTGGCTTGGTGGCAGCAGATGAAGTCAAAGTGCTCAGTTGCAGTGATTGGGAATCAACAGGCAGAGGGGGGGGGGGGATCAGTTCCACATGTAGGAGGCACTGAAGTGAGGCTGAAAGCAGGGAAACGAGGAGGGAGATAAAGCAATCTGTCAGTGGAGTTTTTTTTTTTTTTCTAAGTCACTCAGAATCTCCTCTTCAGAGGAAATGTCTGGTTTTCAGAAGGAATGGTTCTTTGGGTCAGACGCTGGCGATTCTGTGGAGGGAGCCCGGCTAGGGGCTCATGCTCTCTTGTGGTGTGGTCGCCCGTCGCCGTTGGAAACCGCTGACAGCGGCTCATTTTCCAGTGTAAAGGTCCACAGTGCTGGAGCTCAGGCCCCGACTCTCCTTGAAGTTACTGCCTCGAGTCTGACAGGTAAATGGTGGAGAAAGGCAGAGGTTGATTTAGATCTAACATTCTAAGAACTTTCCTTTTTTTTTTTTAAATTAAAGACTGAAACTTGATTGAACGGTCTTCACCTGGAATGGGTCATCACTGGTTCTGTTCAGATAATTCAAGGAGGCAGCTCTCTTCATGCTAGTTAAAAAAAAAAAAGGGGGGGTGGGGGGGACATTTAAGTAGAGTTCACAGTGACTGTCCGCACTAATGAGCTCAGTTAGAACTTTTGCAAATACTCAATGTAGACAGAATGTTTTAAAACTATTGTCAGAATGAAAGCAGCAGCCTGCTGGCATTTTTTGGTCCTCACTTGGTGCTGCGGGGCTCCGGCTGCACGCTGCCCTGCAGCTTCTTCACCAGCATTTCGCTGCTGCGCCGGAAGACGTCTCTGAGCTTCCCCAGAGAGCCGCTGCGCTGCAGCACCCCGCTGCCGTCCTGAGGACACACACACACACACACACACACACACGTCAGCACAGCTGTTCGCCACCATCAGTGTTCACAGAGATGCTCATTTGGTTCTTTGTCAAAAACACAGTTTCATTTGCCAAAGACCTGAAATCGTAACACACAAAAAAGGACTAACTTGAATGACTGTAATAATGTATTTTGATCATTAAAGATTTCTGCAGTTTCTGCTGAAGGTTTTTGGTTTTACTGGGGCCCCTTTTTTCTGCTTGATGTGTTGCTGAAAAAAACAAATAACAAGCAGCTAAATCATAAATAATGAAGTAACTGCTGATTTTCTTGAAAAGGGGTATTCACTGATTAGATGTACTGCCCCTATTTATATTTCAGGAAAGAAAACCAAATCTGTTTTTGGACTCTTGAACCAAACAGAATTGGTCACTTTTAGGAAACTTTAATAGACTTTTATTACCATTTATGATGCTTTGCAAACAAATGAACAAAATGATAGAATTAGTTCAGCTGTCACAATAATGAATCCATCCATCCATTCATTTTTTAAATGTTATTTCTTGAATGATGTGTTGGTCACATCCCAGCTATGCCAAAAAAGGAGTAGCTTTTAATTACTCACCACTTAACAGACTGTGTACCTACCTTTGCTACATTGTTACGTAAACTGTTTTATCCCCATCTTGAACCATAGGCTTATTACCAGCAGGGGGCTTGTGGGTAAAAGCAGCCGTTAGGCAATACACGCTCTCCTGTGTGGCAGTGAAGCCCAAATTAAATGCAGATCATCAAATAATTTGACCGGCCGGCCACGTCATGTTTCCCGCCAAGCAGAGAAAAAGACAAACTTCACAAATGGAAAAACTTTATTTGAGGATACCAACAAGTGTTGATGCAATAATCTTCACAATGCAGAATGGTAAATATAATGCAGTCCTACTTACTAAGATAGTGCTTGAAGATCTTACCATTTATGTTCTTTTTAAATCACACTATATATGTTGAGAATAGACGGTTCAATAAATAAGCATTCCACTAACACAACGATATTGGCATAATTATGTGATGAGCACAGTTAGTTCTTTTGTTCAGAGTTGCATTAGAAGTATAGATGTAGGTATTGGGAGGAATGAAGAATCAAGGCAAGAAGCACACCGAAAAGCTGTACAGTGAATGCACTTGTCAACTCTAGAAAGACAGCCTACAATTACACCTCCGAGATGTTAAAGTCATTTACATTCGGTTAGTTTAACATCTGTAATGACACGATGAGCGTGAGGAAACACTCGCACTGTAATTTTGGTGTAAAAACAATAACAGGATTCACCAAAGTGACGACGTCCACTTGCGAACAAATGTGTGCGAGAGGGAGAATAAAGCAAAAAGGCAACAAGCTCCTTTCTGTTAAAACATAGCCAGCCTCCATAGCCAGCGTGGGCACTGCGACTGTACCACTGAAAACGTACACAAAGACACACCGAAACTATGAGAAAATTCCAACACCTGTTAAATCAAAGCTCCATCTCTTTTTTTTCTCTCTACTCTTACAGATCGATGAAACTCTAGGGTTTTTAAGTCCATTAGCTTAGGCTCACATGGCTATTTTGTTGTAATAAAAGCTTCTGTCATATTGGCCTGACAGCACTGCCTATTCCCTTTGTAAATGCAAGTTACTGTGTACATACCGTGGTGGCACAGAGCCTTTGTGAGCACAATCAAAGCAAGGACACTGCAGCGTGTGGGATCAACTTGAAACTGAATCGCCATGGCAACGGCAGCTTGCTATGATCTGACAAATTTGGAGTTTACTTTGGCCTGTTTCATGTTGGCCTTTACGGGTGTTTTTTGCAACAAGGCAACGCGTGTAACTGCCTTTATATTGAGCCACAAATGCAGCAAAAGCACTTAAAAAATGTAAACAATAATCATACAAAATGTTACTAAAAATCAATCAATCAGTCAATCAAAGAAACAACAAAAAAAAAACCCAACACTCCCTTCTCTTTTCTCACCAACAAGGCTCCAGAAGCATAATGCGATACAGTACCATTCACTTTTATACCGGTATTGTGATGTTTGACCGCAGACATCGGTTAAAAAAAAGTTATAATATGCATAATGAAGGGAAAAATTAGGGTTAAAAAAAAAAAGAATAAAAGGAAAACCTTTGTAAAAACAAAATCAAACACACAATTATGGCTGGCAGCTAGCTTTGAGGTCTTGTCCATGACAGCTTGATACCTATTAGAATCAGGGTGAGACCATGCAGAGCAACTGTACAAATGATCACACCTCACATATTACTCTTTAGTGATTGTAACTCTGTGGGTTTGGGGGGACATGTGAGCATTCTTGGTGAGCCTTTCAGTAAATGATCATCTTGTTCCTCTGACAACTAATAAACCCACTCTGCCTTCAGACGAAATTACAAGATGGTGTGGATGAGAGGGCTTCCTCACAGGGCAAGATTACACACACGACGGCTTCTTTTACAGTAATGTGGGAGAAAGGGTTGAAGTCACAAATTCCGACGTAGGTTAGTGACAGCAAAGGAGAGCGAAAGAGAGGAAAATGGAGTGGGGATGAGAAGACCAAACGTCCCAGCGGTTGTCAGCTGAGCAGGGTACAGAGGTGACAGCTGGGAGTCTCTGCTGCAGGGGGCACCGGGAATGGCTGAGGAGCTGTCGGTTTGTTGGGACAAAGGAGGCCAGAGGGAACGACAACACACATCCCTTTGCTATTGTGTTGGGGGGAACAAGAGAAGGGTGGAGGAATAATCTTGATGGCTTAGGCCTGATAAAAGAGAAAGAGAGAAAGAGACAAAAAAAAGACAAAAAAAAAGAGCACACATTGTGAGACCGAGAGCTCTGGGTTGGACTTCCCTATGCGACACCTACACTGAGGAATCTGCATGTTGTGGCTTTCTCTTGAGGCAGATTTCTAACTTGTGGAGTGAAATTGCAGCAGTGTGAGAGCTGCCCCACACCATGAAAAATTAAATCTGTCTCAGAGGCTGCAGGTTGGTGATGCAGTATGTAGATGGGTGCAGTCTTAAGTGACTCAGCTGTTTTTGTTTCCATTTCAGGTGCTGGAAAGCTGGCACCAGGCACCAAGTCAGTGAGTGCACTGCAGACAAGAGACATCTGCAAAAGCAGGCACTGAAAGGGTAATAATAATAATAATAATAATAATATAGAAATAAATCAGTGCTTTGGAATCTAATCTTAGCGTTAATTATGCCGTGTCATCTTCCTATTCTGTCCCTACCAATCAACCAAACCAAGTTAATGAGTGGAAAGTTCAAAAGGAGGAGTACAATCCACTGAGAGAAGAGGAAATTTGATTGACAGGCTGATTGGTTGTCATGGCAAGAGGAATTGACAAGGAGGCGGGTTAATGATGAACAGAGGAGGAAACGGGTAAAAGATGAAGTGTGAAAGGCATGCGAGCTGACGGGCAGCAGATTAAAGCCGAGGGCACCAAGCAGACGTAGACGCACATACAGTATTTTAAGTCAGATGGAGTGCTTTTACAGATGTATTAAACCATGATCATCAACGCTGGTTCGTTGTCTATATTCTGTTGTTTGGACAGACCCTAAATGAGCTCCTGAGGGGAGCCAAATTGATCAGAAATCAGGTCGGCAGGAGTTTATGTAAAGTCTCCTATGGCTTCAGAGACCATTCAGACTTTATGAGAGCCGAGGACATAGAATGAAGACCTGTTCAGGCAACATTACACTGTAAGTTGTTTAACTTCCAACTCTATTCCCTGAAGCAAAAGTCAGCTGAACTGTGGCTACACGTTTACTTTGCAAATGAATGGATGGATGGAATTTGGCATTTAGTCAAAGAAGTGACATGACTGGAGATATTTTCAAAGCATGTGTATCTCTTCTCTGCCCTTGACTGTGTGAGTTTAGTTGAGTTTTCTCCTGCTCAGATGGGGATAATGCAAAGCCAGCGCATGCCCGGCATGCCGCCACGCGTTTTGCAAATGGACAGGTGCGCACTCAGACGCTTATGCATGCGGTTACAATCGCACCTGGGAGTGCTGAAGCTGCAGATGAGCCTTCACATTCACTCACCCTCACACACACACACACACGCACATACACATACAAAGCGGCCAGCAAATAAGACCGCAAAGCGTCTACTGAGGAGAGAGCGGCACACATCAGGTTAACAGATGCTTCGCAGCCACGTGGATTCACACAGAACACGCATGGTCAATTAGTGTGCGTGGGAGGGGTGAGTTCGCCGTGCTGCCACATGCATGTTTGGACTGGGTTGGTGCAGTGAATGGAGTGGCTGCACTTGAGTGAAGGGGGGAGGCACAGGCAAAGGCTCAGGTGAGGCATCCTTGAGCAGCACAGACTCAACATCCAAGCTGTGAAAAGATGCTTTCATTTTTTTAAGTAAAAAATAAATAACTAAATAATGAAATCATATATATGTGTTGACCAAAGCCAGACAATGGTCATTAGACAAAAGCCCACTGAAATGTGCATTTGTGCTTCATGGTGCAAACACAATACATTCTCATTGGGGCTTCAGACAGGCTCCATCTTAGAAGTACATCTCATGAAGCGATAAATATTTAATATGTTGCCAGAATGCTACAGACTGAGCGTGTGCCTTTGTGTTATAGTTTTAATTTGTGCAGTGGCGTTGCTGGCAAAATAACCAAAATGAGGCATGAGGCCTTCATTGACGAGCAATGAACGACCAAAAACAAAAGCATGAGCGCATGGTCCAAAGCAAAATGGGATGCTGTCAAAAATAAAAGAGGGTCAGCATGCCAAGACACTCAATCAGCTTTACGGTTTGTGAATGATAACCACAGGTTGACCTCAGGACAAAGGCCTCTGCAGAAAGGGGAAGGACTGGTACAGCCATGTGAGCTCTTTAGTGCTGCTATAATTTGATGACACCTGCCATCATAAAGGAGGTCGTGCAGGTGCTTCTGTGCTGTTTGACCACAATAAAAAGAGCTTCCTGTGAGCTGGATGGTTTGAAGCAGCTTCCTGACTTTTCTCATAAGTTCAGAACAGAAGTCTAGAGTTTGCTTCCTGCTACATATCGTTTGTTACATAACGAGTTAATTTCTCTTTATTCTGAATAGGGGTCATCAGTCACATGCACTGTACCAGTCCACACTCTCTGTAACATGGCCAACACCGCCTGGTTTTTCCAGGGAGGCCCGTTGGGTGTGTTAACTCTGCTTTAGTGGATTTGTACTCACCCCATTCCACTCCACGCCCATACTCACTTCCTCGCCGGTCTCGGAGCCGCTCTCATACTTAACGCTGGCCAGGCTGTCTCTGCTCCTCCGCCTGTCCCCCTCTGTATCTTTCAGGATCTCCACCACGCGCGTCTGGTGGATGGGGTCGATGCCCTGATGGGTGCAACACACAGGGGGGTGACAAACCAACGATGAGAGCAAGCAGATGTTAGCCGGGTGGATGTGCAGAGGTTTATGAATCAGAGTGGTTTTCTAACGCTTTCTGCCCCCCCCTTTGAAGCACTGTCCCAGACACGAGCACAAACTTTAAATGACTGTGAGGCTGTGAGATGGGGGTGGTGTTAGGGAAGAGTGGTGGGAGCTAACAGTTAACAGACAAACCACTTACTGTGTTGCTCTGGATCCATAGCATTGCGGGAGAAGGGAAAGAAATATAGTGAGATTCAGTGCCCCGTCACGGGGGACACATTAAACAGTTATTTGCATGCAGGAGGGCATTTTCCAGCTACGAGTTGCTGCTGACCTGCTTGCGAGACCTCACGGCGCACTCCTCCAGGGTCTCAGCAGCCTCTAGTTTGCCCTGCCGGCGGTACAGGGCACCCAGGTTCCTCAGAGTAGTGTTCACTGTAGGGCTGGGTGACAGAAATGCAGCACAAAAAAACTTACTCACTAACGGATAGTTTGCAAAGCAACTTGGAGGAAATTCACAGTGAAATAAAAACATTTCAGATGTTGCCAAGTTTTTAATCAATGCAAAGATATTTAAAAGATCAGGAGTAATTTACATGCTCTATCAAGCATCTTTATGACCCAGCCATAAACAAGTTTACTGGTCTCACCTATTGACTTTGCAGGCTTTGTACCAGCCACCATACTCCCCGTATGGAGTGTTGTCTCTCTGCTTGCTCTGGAAGTGAATCAGAGGCCGGAGGAAGGAATTAAAACAAACACAAAAGGCAGGCGTGGTTAAAACTGGATCGGCAGCATAAATTTATTTACATATTTATATTCAACTCTGAAATGTCCTCTGGGGTTTATTGTGTTTATTTTGTGAAGGAAACTACCCTTAAAAAGCACAGTGCTTTAGTAACAGGGTGTGAATTAAAGCTTTCTATTTTCCCTTTTTTTTTTTTTAAACCATGCATTTTTTTCAACTTTTTTGTAACACTTTTTTGTTCGCTTTGCACTGCAGACTGTTTCAGAAAGCCTCTCACCTTGCTCATCTCCTCTCTTTCCTCTGCATGCATCCATATGGGCTTGTTCTCAGCTGCAGACAGACAGACAGGTGTGTTGGTTTTAATACAGCACAAGTGCACTGGTAAACACTGCCTGAAAAGCTGGAATTATCGTTTTAGTTTATTGGTTGACCTGGAATTTCCACCTGACTCTTGGCAGGATGCTGATTTTCTCTGTGTCTCAGTTAAATTCTGATCAGATGGTTGAAGGACAAATCAAACACTTCAAATCTGACTGGCTTGAAATATCAAAGCCATAAAAATCAAAGCAAGCTAATGATGGTAATACTAAAAAGAAAAGTAAAATAAACAAAAAACTCTTATCCTAATACTATCATTACTTTCCTATCTTTGAAAAGAAAATATGAGCATTATTGTCACCTGGAGTGACATCCCCCCCACCAAAAGAAAAACATTTCCAGTACAATGTGAGTTTTTTTTTCCTCAGCAGGCATCAGAGCAGAGCACCAAATCCAATCCCTTCCATTTCTTTTTCAAAGCAGAAGAGTCAAAGCTGGTCCCCGGAGGAGTGCTAACAAAAGGCTCAACTTAAGCTAAAAGAATTGGAGGAGTTCCTCTTTCAGACGAGAAAGCTCTTTATTTCTTCAAACGGGTTCTGTAAAGACTCTTTGACAACCGCCTGCTTCAAACATGCTCCACTTTCTGACTGACTGTCCATCCCTGATGCTGGAATGAACAGCAGTGGGAGGTGGAAGCAAGAAATTTTTTAAAAGTTGTGTATTTTGAAGTGTAGTTTATTGTCACCAAGCACAACTTTCCTCATAATGGCTTTGTGTTTATTAGTTGATTTAAGGTTGACGAGAAGAGAGATTTGCTGAAAGAAGGACCTTGCAACCTCTGTCAGCTCCAGCAGCCACTATGTGGCCTTACCATCGACAGATCCAAATTCTTTCTCATGAGCACGAGTCAGAATCTCTTTGTACAGAATCTCAGCCTCCTTGTATTTCCCTTGTTTGAGGAAGCAGGATGCCTGAGGAACAAAGACAAAAAATGTTGGAACAAATTAAACTTAGAATGTGCCTCCAAGAAACGGCATTCTAAATCTTAGGTAGACGCAGACTCCAGCTGCTTTCGACAAGTGTGAAAAGGCACACTTCACCACAGAACCCATCTTTACCATCTACTGAAGTCTTAAAGACCTTGGAGAGCATCGAATAGCAAAGCAGCAGATAAACAACTGCTTAGAAAATACTCTGAAAGGCAACATTGACAATACACCACTAAAGATGATGGAATTATGGCTGTCTTGCTGAATAACCTTAGCTCTTAAAAAGTGTTTTCTGCAGCAAATAGTCCATTTTGTAAAGTCAGGGACAACATAGCAGTGAAATACACGAGTTGAATGCAAGTTTAATGGCATTTTTTAAGACTAAAGTGGAATCTTTGCACCGAGAATTCCATTTGCATGCTAAACACCCCCGCAGGGATCACGCTCTGTCTGACAGAGCAAATAAGTTTTGTTCACAAAAGAAGCCAAAGTAAAACTGAGCAAGTTTAATTTTGATATAGACGGCTCAAAAGGGACCCTAACTCGTGTTGACGTGAGTGGTTTGAAAGGAGGAGGAGAGCTGCAAAGTGCACTAGCCGTAAAGGTACTGTTAATCAATCTCTCACCAGGTTGTTCTTGGTTTTGGCCACATTGGGATCATCTGGGCCCAGCCTGCACTCGTAGATCTCCAGGGCACGGCAGTAATAATACTCCACTTCCTCATACTTGCCCTGGTTCTGGCACAGCAGGGCCAGGTTGTTCAGCTGTTTGGCCACATCTGGGTGTTCCTTGCCCAGTACCTGAAGGAAATCCAGGAACAAATAACATGTGTTAACGTTACACTTGGCCTCTGCCTTGCTGCCACCGGCTCTTCTTGGGTCTTGACATTCTGTAGCCACAGATTTGAACAGATGAGCCTGCTGCTGGCGCTGAGGAGATCTAATAAAAGGACGGCCGATCAATATTGGAGCCACAGAAAGGGCCTTTCAGGTTGAGACTCTTTTAAAGCCTGCTGAGTTCAGAGGTTTTTCACCTCTCCTATCATCTTCCATCTCATTCCCTCAACGGCTGCTATCCATTTTCAGCTCTGCCCTCAATTAAAACCCAATCCCCTCTAACAAGGGAACGGCCCCCAGTGGAAATTTCACACAATTTCAGAAAATCTTCTGCTCTTTTTTTCTATTTATAGTAGATGGTGTTATGAGTGGCATCGCGTGACAATACTGAACTGTTACCACTATTAATTGCTTTACTTCAATGAGCTGAATCCCTGGTTTAGCTTGAGATGAGGCCTCAATAGCTGGGTTGTGAACTGTTCTGGTGCTGTCCAGGGATATGGCCTACCTTTTCTCTGATCTCCAGAGCCCTCTTGCACAGCGGCTCGGCCTCCTTGTACCTCCCCCTCTTTCCATACAACACCGCCAAGTTGTTCAGGGTTGCGGCCACCTACAAAAACACCAAAACAGAAAATCCGTTTGAGGGTGAAAACTACTAAATAAACAGCAAAGCTCCAATAACCTAGTGAATTTTTCAATTTGCATATTCCAAAAGCAACAACTGTGTGAATTAAGTCTGTCGTGTAAGCACTGAGCATGACTGATTACTCCATGGCTTTAGGCCGGTGGGTGGATTGGAAGGGGGAGTCTATTAGACAGTAAATATATATTAGCCTCCCTGTTGAACAATAAGCGTGGAGTGGAGTCTTACAGCTGGATGGTCTTTGCCCAGAGTTTTCTCACGGATGGACAGAGCATCATTGAGCAGATGGGCTGCCTCTTTATATTTGTTCTGATCCCTGCATAGGTGTGACAAAGCATTAAATTAAAAACAAGGAGCTTCACTAAAAGGAGGCAAACTAAAGTAAAATAGTGTTTTGTTTTTGCTGACCTGTAGACCAAGGCCAGTATGTTGAGCATGGTAGCCACATCAGGATGATCGTGCCCGGAGGTCTTTTCCAGGTCCTCCAAAGCTTGTTTGCAGAGGGGCACGGCCACCTCGTACCTGCCCTGAGAGGCATACTGGATCACCAGGTTGTGCAGGGTTCTCAGGCGGGTTGGGATCTCATAGCCGCCCTGCTGGGCAGCAACTTCAGCGGCGCTGTTGTGCTGGTGCTGCACTGGAGATGACAAAGACCACATGCACAGAGCAAAGGTCAGTCTGCTTTCTCAAAGGGAGAACACCTGACCTCATACAGGTTTTAAACATATCCTAAAACCTATATGCACCCATAATCCTGATATGCGAGCTGCTGTAAAGTACTTACTTCCTTGGCCTTGGTCCTCCTCGTCGTTGGGGAAGAGGTCATCCAGGGAGTCCTTTGGTGTTTCTCTGTCCTTATCCTCCTGCTGAAAGGGGGGAAAAGCACTTGCCATTCAGATTAACCCACAGAACTAAAAGATGATGGATGCCAATTCAGAAAAGGTTTCACATACGTGAAATAAGCAGCGATACATAAAAAAACACATCTATATAAATGTAATATTCATGCACTCTTTTCAGGAGAAGGGAGAAATAAACCACATCAGATGTAAAAGGCAGTTTTTACCTAAAAAATGAAAGGGTAAAACGACTTACTGTCCATACTAATGTTTATATGAAACTGCACACCGCAATCTAAAAATAAAAGCCAAATTATATACCTGTGGTAGTAGAAATGGGATTTGCACGATAAACTGAACCCACCAAAGGGATTTTCTTCAAAAGATTTGTTTAACTCATTCGCTGCCAAAGACGTCTATAGACGTCTTTTCAAATCCAACCGCTGACTGCCAAAGACGTCTATAGACGTCTTTTATGTTTTTCAATGCGAGTGGCTTGGGGGACGATCGGCGAAAGTTTTTCCGTAAATATCGGCTTCTAGACAGAGTATGGACTAACAAATTTACCCTCTAGGTAGCTGTGCCACTTTTGATGGGAGATTAGCATAGATTGTAGGCAAATAAAAACAAACGCAATGGTTCGCTATGAGAGAAATGGCGCCGGTGAGACGCACGTCGAAGAAGAACGGAATAAGGTAGAAACAAAATCTTTTTTCCTGATGAAAGAAGAGAGTCTACTCTTTCTTTTGGTGTGTTCGGTGTTTACATAGTCATAGCACAAACTATTCTGTGGCTCTTGAAAAATCAGTCAAAATTCTCAAAAAACTCTGGCAGTGAGCGACTCTCTGTTCTGAAAATGGCTGGCAGTCAATGAGTTAATATGGCATATTGCTGGAAGCTGGAAACAGAAAAGCTGCTTCCAAAGCAGGAATTGAGACCCTCAGGCTCCGAGCAGGAAGGGTTCCTGCTGACTCTAGCAGATGGTCGATGCAGGCAATTATGGAATCTTTTTGTGACTAAGAAAACGGTTAGAAAATGCAGTGAATCACTCCTGCTACAACATCAATAAGAGCCCTAGCAGAGCCACTCATTCCTGGAAGACCACGCAGTTATTTGTTCACGTCAATACATGTTGCTGTTTCTCTTTCTTCAACACTGACATAATTGACTGTAAATTGAATCACTGAAGATACCTTAATCTTAATTTTACGGGTGTTACGTTGCGAACAAGGTTTGGAGTCTGTTTGTATGAACTAGTTATGATCATCACAGGCGGTACTCTACTTACGGTGGGTGAGACATCTTCGTCGTACTTTTTCAGCTGGTTCATGAACTCAAGGTGCTTCTTCTCTTCCTCCAGCTGGGCCACGCTCTGCTCGCTCTTTTGCAGCTTCTGCTGGGTGTTGGCCAGCTCGTCCCGCAGCCACTGGTTTTCCTGGCAGAGCCTCCTCACTTGTGCGCGCAGTTTCTGCTTCTCGGACTCGACGGCATTCAGGTGGTTGGACAAGGCCATCATCACCTGGGACGGAGATGGCGGCGAAGAGGAATGTCATTCAAGTGTTCAAACCAGAGCCAAATCTGAATGAATCACGATCACTACACACACTCAGTATAGAATGAGGAAGCCGGAAAACCAAAAGCAGAAGACGGTTACATATTAATGTCTGGGTTCACAGCATATCCAGACAGTTTGCTAAAGTCCATTATAAATCAGCCATTTCTAATATAAAAGAAAAGTTTTAGCCCTCGTTTACACATCCCCAGCAGATGTTACCTGAGCTTCTCCCAGTCCCAGTTCAATCATCTCCACCGACTTGCGGAGCAAATTGGACTTTTCATGGACCAGGTTGGCCTCCTCGTCTTTCTTTAGGCACTTGATGGTCTCCAGCAGGCTGTGGAGAATCGAGTTGTGCTCATTTTTCAGAGCCTCCAGACCCTGGATAACCAGCTTTGTGTTGGAGATGATCTCCTCCTGAGAGAGCTTCTCAAGCTTCTCCTCCCGCGGATACACCATGGTGGACATTTTTTTCTTCGTAGCTCAAGGATGACCTGGAAAAGCCGTAGGAGAAAAATGCCAGGTGAGGGTGAGACACATCGACCCAATGAGGCAAAAGTTAAATAACCTTCAGCAAATATATGCATGCTTATTTTCAAAATGTATGTTCAACTGTAAAAAAACGTAAAGCTTCTGTGTGTTTGCGTGTGTGTGAGATGGGAAAGATGAGCTTTCAGTTTATAGATATCAGAGTCAGACGGGGAAGAGCTCCACCCCTGATGCTGACATACACCACATTATTTCTGCGCTCCACTAACAAGATTATCTTCCAGCAGTGAGGTAGCTAAAAGCGGAATATAACTCATGTGTTTCTATACAGCTGAGATAGCGGATTTAAATTTCACAAGGTGTATACTGGGGGTGAGCATTAATTTCATTTAGAAATTGAGCTGTGCACATTAAGAACCTCAATACAGCTCAATGACAAAAGGAAGAATAGAGGCAGAGAAATCATGAGCTAAAAACAGCAGCTGCAGCCACTGCTAAACCAGGAGGGTGGGTGGAACGGATGGCCACATACTGAGTAATACTGAGCATGCAGGGACCTGCAGGACATATTATGCTGAAGAAGACGCTGAAGGGATTTGGCACAAATGATAAGTTCTGGCTGAGAGAGCGGGGCGCTAACCCGTGGCACACAGATGCTGCAGAGCGGAGGCTCCTGGTGCCAGCACCCAAACAGAGGCCAGCCGCTTTGGCTGTGACCGCAAGGAGAAGATGACCTGACAATAGCCTCAGTAATACAGCCCACCAGCTGGCCAAATAAAACAAAACACCGAACAAACAAAACAAAACCAAAAAAAAACTCAGACCACCAATAACATCATACTCTAAACAAATGTCTGACTTTTAGTGAGAGCATGGAAACAGTCTGAGGTAAACTATGAGTCATGGAGAGACATTACTGTTGGCTTCACTGTACGCATGTCTTGAAAAAACACTGCGCTATTGGGATAAGGGCGATGTTGATCTGGTGGTGTCTCTATTTCAGCAGAACTGAGAATAAAGGGTAAAGTATAGAGGGGGTTGGAGCAATAAGAACACCAACTGAGAGCCATCTGTCTTCAAAAAGATATTCAACCATTATTAAGTCTCTTCCTGTTTTCTATTTGCATTTCTTCATCTGTCCATGAAAGGAACACACAGAAACAAACTAAAAGCAAAAAGCCTATTTGCTTTGCATAAACATAAATACATAACACCTAGTTTGCTGCAGACACTGAGTTAACACATTATCAGTAAAATGATAACTGAAGAAGCACAAGGACCTTTAAACCAGGATCTGTAATGGTTTCTATAGTCTGTGCCAAAAATTGCACAAATATCATCAGTATGGACCCTTGAAATTCTAAAATGTCTTAAAAACACTGAAATAAAAAACATGTGAGAGACTCATGTCCTCTAATTTACAGCCAGAGATTTCCGAGCAAGATGACATGAACCCTTATTCTCAGTTCTCAGGAGATCCTAAAGAAAACACATAATTCAAGGGGCAAAGACCAGTGTTTCAAGAGCAAAGTGTTTGACACCCTTTTTGTGGAGGCTGTCATGACATGCACATATTTCATGTGCCAATAACAAAATTACCGGAGGGCTCACAGTCTGCAGTTTCATCATGCAGAACAGTGACATATGCCAACTAAAAAGATCCTGCGCAGGCAAGGAAAAACATGTTTTTGCAGAGTTTACATTTATTTAGGAGCTAAATGAAAAGCAAATAGTTGACAAAAAAAATGCTGTCAAATTGATGTGAATGCCACAAACACACCAAAGCCATTATTTGCATATTGAAAGCGATCTGTCTGTACATTCACTATGTTACGATGCATTTACAGTCATAGCTTAGATGGTTTTTATGCACTAGAGTATAAACTACCTAATTTCAAGGCAGGGATTATGATATCCCAGCTTTTCTCCCTCATCCCATCTACCAGCAGAAGCTTCTAGCAAACAGGTCTTAAGGTTTTTATTTAGCAGATATTGCCCTTGAATTAAACTTTCCCCCCACTTTCCCCGTCACTGTAAGCCGTTTAATTTGCAGGGGATCTTTATCACACAAATAAGAATACAAAAATTTGAAGAGACTTCCCAAATGACAAACAAGTAACCAAGCATGAAGTCCAAAATACAACAATATAAGTTGTTAGTGCTGCTGAAATGGCTAACAGAGCAAGTAACACTGGGTAAACATGAACATAGATTTATGTTTCACCTGTTACACATTGCACCAAACTGCATGACTCAGTTACCCGATTTGGACTTTTATATACAATCATGATTAGACTCATCCATCAGGCATAAAGTTAAACTGTTGTGTTCGGAGGCAACAAGTTTGGGATCCAGCAACAAAAAAATAAGAGTTGGCTTCACTCATTGCATGCAAAGTAAACACAAGATCACGAGCTAAGTACTTTAAATAAATTCCCCATTCCACGGCTATTTGAGCCGTGTTTTTAATGCGCAACCAGCACAGATAACACGTGGTGCATTAACAGATTTGGCTGGTACTTTGTAACAGATAAAGTCCTTTGCAGACTGTAAAAGTGCATCGGTCAAACCACATTTGGTAGTTTTAAAGCATTTCGGTAATATATAGAGAAAATGTGAAGACAAAAACCTTGCGAAGATGACAAAGTATGGAAAAAATATCTACATATCACTCTCGAACACCCTTCATTTGCATTACAAAACAAGCTACATGGCCTCCAGCTGAAAGCCACACATCACTCACTCTGACAGCGCTCTCGGCTGTTACAACTTCATGGACCAGAAAACAAACCTTGGAGTCAGAAGATCAGTGCCTGATAGTTTAGCTTGGAGAAAAGCTGATGAAATATGGTGTCCTCGGCTAGCAATGACGCTACACGCCAGAACATCGTGTGAGAAAATAGCAGTCCTTATCCACGGACATCTTTTTAGTTATAAAAATAGTTAAAAAATTCCCTGTGTAACACGCAAATGGTTAGGGAAGAGGAAAGTAATGAGTCTGATGAATGCTGATGCTGCAGAGGAGGGTGGGAGCTGCCTGCAGGATGACTGTGACCTTCCCACTGCTTCGTCAGAACAACCAGCAACAACCCAGAGTGCACATTAGGCGAAGGACCCGCCCACAGCGGGAGGAAGACAGAGGAGTGCGGAGGAGCAGGTCAGATGGGGGAGGGAGCCAACTCTTGCCATTTTCATCAGACACAATGAAATAACCTCAATGACACTGTTTACAGGCTCAAAGAATTTACAAATGCCACACAATCTAAGGAGTCAACAATCTGCAATGTTAAAAATGGCTCTTTGGAAAGGCTGCATGGGCAAATTAATGAATGGATGAGGAATATGTTACAAGCTCTGCACAATGAGTCATCAGCAGAATGAGCTATAACAAAGAACTCTTCACCTTTATTGAGCTGAAAAGATGGCTGTTGATTTGCTGAGATGAATTTTATCTTCAGTCAGATGACCTTTGAGCACACTCAAAGGTCATGGTATACTGCAGCAATTGTGGCACCTCAAGCCCAGAAGTCAATAAATGTGTCCAGGAGAAGAGAATAGTTATGAAAATGGGTTTATGATCATCATCAAAGCTCTGTGGACTTTTGTGTCATGTGTGCTCATCCGGAGCCGTCAGCCTCTTCAACAGAGGCAGTAAGACACATCATTACAATCACAGAACTACACAGTATTTATTTTTTACTTTATTGTACGATATTATATCGTACTACTGGACTGCTGCAGCAGCCAAATTTCCCTTTTTATTACATCAACATTACCCCTCATTCCTCATCCAGTGATTTTACCTAATTATATCTCTAACTGAAACTGAATTGGCATTAAACTGCAGAAATAAGGACAACTGTGTATTATTACCCCTATGATTCTTCACTTTTTAAAAATCTAGATTAGATTTTTGGGTTCGGTTTAAGCATCTCTACTAAGTGTTTTTACCCAAATGGTGTGGACAAAGAAAGTCACCCGATTGAAGAACTAAAGAGGAACATTACAGTGGTGCAAACGCAAGCCAGTGGCTTAGCTCTATGCCATCCTCAGAGAGACGCATTTACAGTCCATTTATTGAAGTCTGACACAAGTGCATCATGAAACCTTGCTCTATTTCCAGAACAAGCAGCAATCCAAGTCACAGTCTGTGTCACTTCCAGACACAAAAGAGACTCAGGCATATGAGGGTGGGGCAGAGCCTGGAAGAACCAGAGGGGACGTGCCACTGTCACTGTCTGTTGGCATCCATCATCCCACAAACAATCTGCAAGGGCCTGGTTTACCCACTAATGGCCACCCAAAAAACGCCTGCCTTAATATTTCTTTATTATGCACAAAATATGAACACATTAATGTTGAAAATGTACTCTGGAACTGTCACAATTCCTTGTTATATGGCAAGCCAAACACATAATTGCAACCCTGGACATAGGTTTTAATGTACACGTTAGGAATACGAACAACCTTGACCTTCTTGAGCATTTTTTTCTTGCTATTCATTAGTCTACGGCAATAAGCAGGAGATCATGTGATGTATAATTAGATAAACGCTGTATAGGACTGCATTCAATATCATTCGACTGTCGCACATCACAACGAGGCTAATATGCGAACTTCATCAAACGCTCTCCTAATTATCAATATGGCGACATTATGCTACTTATTTTTTTTCAAGATCATTCAGATAGTATTACTGTCAAAACCAACACTGCACCGCTAACTTTATAGCTGCGCAAGCCATTTAATGGGTTTAAGTGTTCTCTCTCGGTGAGTGGCTAGCTTTTGGCTACACAGTTAGCATCGTACCACTCCCTAACTAGTTGTGAGCTATTTCCGCCTCTCAATGCGCCGAGTTGATCATTTCTACACAGTCCGACTATAATGCACACAACCTAAGGACACACTAATAGGTACGATACGTGCATTCATAATATATGTATGGGAAAACACATACTTCACTTACCGAGAGCTTGGACTGACGACTAGCTCAGCCCCTTTAAATCCAAAATGTCTCCCAACACAGAAAAATTCTCCCAGAAGCCTCTGCGGCTGGCGCTATGTGGCCTTACGTCATGTTATGTTTTCGAATCATCTCTGACAAATATGTCTATTAAATCAGCCCTGCCTCTACTACACGTCTGTATCAAAGCTAACTTGTATATTTTAAACTAATTACAGACCATGAATCCTACTGATACAAATTAGTCTTTCATAAAATGTTAGAACAATGTCACATTCCAAAAAAGCGAACTCATAGCAAACCACGTCATTGAAACGTGAAACCGGATTATTTTGTGGACCTATAATAGTCAAACGTCAACAATTATGCATTTACAACAGTAAATAATACAAATGTCAGAAACACAGAGCACAGCGAAATATCTAGAGATGATACTAACCACGAATAGTGGTTTGATAACTTCACGTTTTACCTTCTTTCTTGTAGCACAGTGCTTTGGCACATTGTTGTCATGTAATGTAATAATCCGCTTTATAAATTACCATTTTAAATGAGGGTTTTAGAGATGATAGTTTTTCCTGATCTTATTGCAGCCAGATGACCAGCATACATTATGCTGTCATTCGAATATCTCTTATTTCTCGAGGCCAAGATGGACCATATACCAACTGAATGTCAACATATTTTCTTTAACATGATTTGGGATTAAACATTATGTCAAGATGACCCCCACACTTATTCAAAATATCAAGATTTAGGTAATTTCACTTCAGTTCTTTTCAAACCAAATTCCTTTTCCATGTTTCCTTTCTATTGAGGCTTTACAAGGATTTTTTTTAACTCCATCTGAAAATGGTTATTTACAAGTAGCGAAATGAAGAGGGTGTGGTTTTTAACTCCCATGTTTTGATTTTGCACTTGTGCTTATAATATGAATAAGATCAGCACAAAATTATCTGGGAAAGCCACGTATGGAAAATTACACGCCAAAAACATAAATTAAATACACAGCTGAGGACTAATACAAAAACAAGTCATTCAGCAAACGCCACTTTAATAAATAAGGCTATACTGTCTCCTACTGGAGGATCTGAGAACAATCGTCAAACGGTCGGATTATAAAACCAAGAAGAGGTTGAATTGTTGAATTTAAGTGAGTTGTATGTCTTTTCAAGTGATAAGTTGAAAAATCACAATGGATCTACTCTTTGAAAAAAAAAAGATAGTTTTTACTTATGGGAAAGGAAACAATCAGGGTAAACGTGACGTCGCGTACCAATGACGTAAAGCAACGCCACTGGTACGCGACCATTCCTGCAGCATTGTGAAGGACGTCGATGAGAAGTTCGGGATGAAGTAATTGAAACATAAACGTCGGCTCACTGGTACTATAATTTACGAAGGGTCTTTGTTTAGTTTAGCATCTATTTTGCAGCTAAGAGGGAGATAAAACAATCGAGCAACACAAATCTGTGGATAGGTTGTGTTAAACTAACGATGTTCTGCGTTTGATTATTCTTTCATGCTAGCGTTAAAATCTGATGGTGTATTTTTTTGTTATAAATTTGCGATAATTTATCAGTACATTTCCCTATTTTTTTTTAGAATATATTTTTGAAGTAATTTAACAAGAGTTACAAGCAGGACTAGAGCTAATATGAGAAAGAGAACCCTGGTATGTGAAATACGTTAATTCTGTAATGAAATAAGGAAGTTAGTCAAATACAGGAAAATGTGAATAATGAGCAGTCTTTTAAAACAGGGAAATATTTGGTTATTCTTCTCAGAATAGATTCCATGTAAATAATAGTAAACAGACTCTCATTCAAAACTCACTAGGACATTGCTGTGATGGCGGTGTCATGTCTGACCCGAGCCCTGCGCTCCCTGACTCTGTCCCAGCCTGCTCTCATCTCCTCGCAGGTAAGCTCGCCTCTTGTCGGCCTTATCCATAGAGCTAAGTCTCCTCCCCTGCAGCCACCTACCAAACTGTATGTTTCTCTTCTGCAGTTACAGGCCATCACTCCTCTGAGGCTGGGAGCTCCCGTACCCAGTACAGTCAGCCAGTGCAGAGGCTTCCTCACCACAGCCTCTCTGGATCAGAACAGAACGTACTGGAAGCAGAGGGAGAAGTATACCATCAGGCCCATTGGAATGAAAAAGACAGGAGGACGAGATTATACAGGTTAAGAATTGAACAAGTAGTTGAGACGAAGAGGAGGAGGAAGATGACAATACAGAGCTTTTTTTTATAAAGTGCAACTTAACCCGATGGCCTCCCTTTTTTTTTTTTTTTTTGTTTTGATTTTAATAAAGCATTCAATTGGAATTTAGATGATTTTTAAGTTGCAATCTTCATATACATTTATGTAGACCTTTGAGAGGAGCTTGAGTATTTTCCCTCCACTTGAGCTCACTGCTAAGAAATTGAGGGTCTGCATCTCTCTGTGATCCAATGTCATAACATCTGTCATTCTTGCTTGGCCATTTTTTTCCCGCCTGCCCTGCAGGAAGGGTACGGACACATGGAATCGGTGGTGGCCATAAACAGAAGTACCGGTGGATAGACTTCCAGCGTTTGCGCTACGAACCCCAAAGGGAAGGCCAGCCTTTTGACGAGAGGGTCATTGAGGTGCGATACGACCCGTGCAGGTGAGATTGGCTTCTGTCGCACTAAGAACTCCAAAATATAAAGGTAACCAAATTAAAGTTGGCTCCTTCTTTTTCTCTTCTAGGTCCGCTGACATTGCTCTGGTGGCAGGAGGCAGCCGGAAGCGCTGGATCATTGCAACGGAAAACATGCAGGCTGGAGACTTAATTAAAACATCAGGAGTTATTGGACGCATGGCTGGTACTTCATCCTTAGCTTCTGCTCCTTATCCTTTGAAGGGGCCTTTAGATGGCACTAAAGCAGTCTGAGCCTTTGCAACATCCCTGGTGTTTTTTGCAGTGTCAGCCAATGAGGGGGATGCCTACCCCCTGGGAGCTCTTCCCGTGGGGACTCTGGTGAACAACCTGGAGGTGCAACCAGGGAAAGGTTCGGAGTACATACGTGCCGCAGGTACTCCATTTTGTTTCCTACTAATCTATTTATGTAAATCTTACATTGGAGAGTGTTTTCCCAAATCACATTTTGGTTTTCAGGCACCAGTGGGGTTTTGCTCCGTAAAGTGAATGGAACTGCCATCGTCCAGCTTCCCTCAAAGCAGCAAGTTCAGGTAAGGATGGCTGACTTTAGCTTTACGGGAACACTTAAAAAAAAAAAAAAAAAAAAAGAAAGTTCTACCTTTGCTTTGAACTGAATTCTGATGCGACACGCAGGTGCTGGAGACCTGCATAGTTACAGTGGGACGCGTTTCCAACATCGACCACAACAAGCGGATCATCGGCAAAGCCGGCCGAAACCGCTGGCTCGGCATCCGCCCTTCGAGCGGCTTGTGGAAGAGGAAAGGAGGGTGGGCGGGACGCAAGATTAAACCGCTGCCTCCCATGAAGAGTTACGTCAACCTGCCCACCATCTCTGCCGGCTAACTTGGTCTGGACATGTTTTTGTGCCCGTGAATGCCTCGTGATGTTTTCACTCTTGCACAAATGTCTGATGGGAAGAAAAAAGATCTGAATGGAGACGAGCTGTTTGTACAGAAGATTAAAAATTTTATTAAACACAAATGCTTGTGAGAGCATGGAAAGAACCAAAACAATATAAAAAAATCCAAAACATATTTACATCTATCATAAAACATGCAGAGTAACCCATATTTTTAGTGGTGAATTTAAAAATACTGTCATGTCTTTTTTAAAATAGGGTTTGTGCAAAGACACTGGGTGGCATTTCAAGTTCCAGGCATCAATGAGATGGCATGATGGTGTCGTAGATTTGACCTATAATGAAAGTAGCAACACTGACGTCTGTTCCTTTTTGGAGTGCTAAATTATGGTGACAAAGCAAGCATGCCTGCTCATTGATCCAGTCTTGTAAAACACCCCCATGCTACCTCTGGATTTAGGGTAAAATTAGAAAGAGGTCAAATACACTCGTCATTTTGCTTGTCATGAAGTATTTCATAAGCTAAACCGCCGGAAACATCTCCTAACAACTCTGCCTGGGTTAAAATCCGAGGGTCAGCTGGGCTCCTGACTGAAACACCGTGGTGATCCCCTCAGTAAAGCATGAAAAAAAAAAGTAACAAACAGACGCATTCGTAAAGCCCCAAAACAAACTCCAAACATTTAAGTGGCAAAACATGAGGCAACAAACAGTCATGATGGTATTTCAGACCTCACAGGGCACTGAAACCCAATCATTAACACATCATCCCTAGGAAAAGAGAAGAAGAAGAGGCCCTCCTCTCAACTTCAAGTAGTGGTTTACTTTCAAAATGAACACAAACACTTCACCTCAGAACTAAAGAGTGTCCTAATTTGAGCTACTCTGCATATAAAACCACATGAAAGTGCATTACAAAGTGAGGGAAATGTATGAGAAATCACATACCTAATAGTGTTTGCATTGCTAACTTCAAATTCATGAGTTGTGGAAATATATTTGGCATTTATGTCAAGAAATAAACACTATTTGTGCTTTCAATTTAGTGGAAGGGGATTTGCCATTCACAATAGTATATATTTTATATATCTATATACAGTTATAAAAAAAAAAAAAGCCAGTCTATCAAAGCTTGGAAGTCTTCACTTTATAAAAAGCAACAAACTCACACAGAAGGCCCTTTGTCCAAAGGTTTTCCTATTGCAAAAGGTTCACGTTAACACCAGTCGGGGAGTACCATCGAACGTGTAGCACACTACAGACACACAGGCAGTGACTCGGACATCTGGCGAGACTCACACTTCCTCGTCATATTTTAAAACCTATTTAACACTTGCACGGTGCTCGACGCAACAGTCAAAGCATGGTTCAAGTCAGAGAAACTCATTCTTACTTCTGTTTTTTCCCCCAGTCCCCATCAACAGGCTTAAATACTCAGGCTTTCAGTATGTTTTAGGTCAGCCGTACTTGAAGACACTTGCTTAGGATTGACACCCATCTTTTTGGATGCCAACACGTGGCCAAATATTGAGCGGTAACAGGTAATTCTGTATAAAACGAATAACTCAGTAATCCTAATACTGATCTCCACAGGGACCACAGACACAACAAATGCACAAGATTTAGCTTTCAGTATGACAGACTACTGGGTTTGGCCAAGCCACAGGCTCCTGTGATTGGACCACAAAACAAAGTTTGGCACATCACTGCACAGTCGGTAACTTGCTAAGTTTCTGTGGGCAAGCCAGTACGACGAGCTGAACACAGGGTGACCATGTTTACCAGATATATCCCATTCTGACCTGAAATTAACTCCCAGAAGGCCGAATTATGACGCGACAGGGAAGCTGTAAAAGGCGTCATTAAGCTGCAACTAAACACGGTGCTCAGGAGTTAAAGGAAGTTGTTACCCTGCTTCTAACTGCTTTTTACTGTACAATCTCGATGCACACTAACAAAAACGTTAGCACTCTCAACGACAGACAGTTACAAAGGAGTTATAGCTACATTCATTATAGCTACCTTCTAATACTTTGAATTTTTTTCCTCTTGGGTTGCTTTAGTGTGCTTCAAAGCAACGAGGCAACGAAAAAAAAGAACTTCACGTTCCTTCCTATAAAAACTCACTTTTTTTTAAGAAAGTAAAGGGACGAGTTAGAAAACCGAGCACTCAGAAGAAAAAGGATTCCACCTAAATTCACAGCAATATTCCAACTTTGAACAACAAAACACAAACACGGTCTGCAAAGGATCTCACGCACGTCACTGCACGTCACCACCACACTCTTCCGTTGTCTATAGAGTAACAATAAATGTAGGATTTCACAGAAATAATAAAATGTCAACGAAAAAAAACAAAGTGCAAACACAGCTGCCGTTATCGAAATGTGGCAATTTTGTCAAGAACCTCAAAACACTTGAGGCGGTAGCACAAATCTTACAAAATAGTACTTGTTCTTTATGTAGTGTGTAAAAATAAAAAAAGGGGGGGGGAAAAAAAGAGAGAGAAAAAAACAACAACACCCAACAACATCAAAAAACATCAAATTGACAATGTGAACTTTGTGTGTTGAACACGTGGTTGTGGTCAGTAAGATTTCCACAGGAAAACTATTACTGCCCTGCGGCCGTAGGGATGGAGGGAGGGGGGTGGGGTTGGGTGGGGTCTTCTAATTCTCTGGAGCCTCTGGGGTGAGACAAGTGCAGCCGAGAGTCTGGTGGGGTTGTGGACGGTGGGCCGGGGGTCACACCGGCTTTGTGTAGCCGAAGATTCCCACTGGGAAGTGCTTGACGTGCGTCGGCCACTGGGCAGCCAGCTGGAAAAACTTGACGTCATTCCACTCCACTCCGTCGATCGTGACTGGGGACGATAACGGACCAGAGTTAGACGCCAGAAAACAGCCGCAACCTCACGAACTGTGCAGTTGGCGTTGTGAGCAGCGGTTGGGCGGCGGCGTGGCGTGTGTCCGGCTTACCTCTCAGCATCGTGTGCTGGTGCTTGGCGGTGCAGATCAACCTGCTGATGCCGTCGATCACTTGGCTCTTAGAGTCCAGCTCTTTCTCCTTGGGTTTCTTGCTAAGAAATATCACTGGAAAGAGGAGGATGCAAGGTGGGGTTATTAATTATTTTCTCTCCCGAACCCCTTGTCACTCTAGACTCTAAACGGCACCAGAACCTCGGGGTGCATCTGAAGGCTAAAGTTTGCCACACTCCACAGCGCACCTTTCTTGTAACCCTTCTCCTTGGTGACCACAGTCATGGCCATGCTGTGGGGAGGGGTGAGCTCCCCTCCGCTGGGCAGGCGGCTGACTTGTAGTGAACGGAAGTTGCTCTTCAGAGTGTTCTTCAACCCCACGTCTCGCTTCTCTCCCTCCTTCTTCTTCTCCGGGCCCTGCCACGTCCAGTAGTCCACCTGGAGCCCCATCACCTCGCTGCCCGAGCACGGAGATCTAAAAGAGGGGGGGGGGGGGGGGGGGGGTTAAAAAAAATTGCAGCCGCCAGTAAAATGAGGCGGGCTAAATGGGATGTTTTTTTGCTGAAAGGGAATATGAGTGGTGTACCCAGCTCCAGACAGGGCGGTGGACACAGAGGGAGACTGTGGGGGGGTGCTCCCAATCTCTTTCCCATAGGGACCAGCCACTGGGGGCGTCGGGGAGGACAGGATGCTCGTGTTACCTCCCATCGCATCATCCGAGTCCACTTTTCACGGTGAGAAGAAGAAAAAATAAAAGTCAAGCACAAAACTCAGAGTGAAAATAAAACAAAGAAAAATATGTTTTTCATGACCTATGTCCATAAGCACGTAACTAAGGAAAATAATTCCATTTACACCCTGAAAGACAAACTCCACATCTTAAGAAAACTTTCTTACTTGAGGTTGAGAGGCTTTGTTCCACAATTCCAACTTTTACGACCTTAAAGGGTGAAAAGGACTCAGCGTTAAGACAGCAGTAAAACCATGAAGCCGTGGTGTTTGGAGCCTTTTTGAACAAAATCAAGGCAAATGTATTCCTACCCCGATGAATGGCACAAATTTCTGACAGGAGTCCTCGTCAGGGCTGTGAACAAAGACAGTGAAAAGTCTGTGAGCGTGACAAAAAAGGGGGGCGTGAACATTTCAACACTCCAGAGGTGCACACAGATACTCAATGGTCCTTGGAGGGAAGATGGCAGTGTGGGGGGGGGGGGGGGGGGCTGCGCCATGTCCCACTGGGGAGGGAATGGCACATGACTGGCTCGGGTGGAATGGGGGTGTTCTCAGGGTCACGTTACAATGAGATGGATGAGAGGAATGGCTCCTTACAACCAGAACTAGAGGGGGTGTCTCTACCCAGCCGGCAGCAGGGCGGCAGATTTCAGCTTTGAAAGTAGAGGCCCGGCTTTACTGGGTGTGAGGCCGCGCGGCTCCTTTTCAAGCGTGACGCGAGGGGCTTTTGCAACCCTGCACGCCGTTACAGAGGCTGGGCCGCGAAGTTTTGGCGTTAAAATATAAGAAACACAAGAAGGAACAAAAGTGACCCCATAAGGGAGAGTAGGGACGGTGTCAACATCGGCGGGCAGTCACAGTGCAGGTGCAGAGGAAGGAGCTCAGGCCCTGGGTTTGACAACACCTCAACATTCTCCTGTTGCAGTTATTTTTGAAAAGCCCCGCCGTCCATAACAATGTGATGGACCAGGCTATGTCGCCTAGATAATTCGGATTAATATGGACCAAAACTGACAGGACACGGAGTCTTTACATCTGATCTACTGTTTACAGTTTCAGGAGATTACACCTGTTTGATTCTCTTTCTATTCCAACTGCTAAATTCCCCAAGAAGCATTCATAGATATTCATTTAGTTTAAAAAAGATGAAGAGGTGGAGAAGTTCACCTTAGCTCTCGCACTACCAGATGACAATACAGTTTAGACTGGGAGGAACTAATCAGAATGTTGCAGCTGTAGGAAAACTGCTACATCTACATCTGTTTAGAGAAACAGAAATTTAAGTCTAAGTGACTTAAAAGTTTAAGTGAAGTTTAAGTGACTCAAAAGCAGCTTCCAAGATATATATTACTAAAGAACCATTTGTTTATAGTGTGCAAATTTCGTCGGCTTTGTACTAAAAAAAAAAACTGACCAGCTCTCAAACAGGATCAGCTTTCTCACAAACATCCCACCCAAACAATCAGTTACACCTCCACTGACAAACCATTAAAAATAATGAAAAAAATACATGACTCCAATCCACACATTAAGAAAAATCTACTTCTTTTGTTTCTTTAGTGGCTCATGCAAGTTCCGTTGGCCTTTCAGTGGAGTGAAAGTGGCTGCTTGGTCAGTTATGTTCCAGGTCTATTTTCTTTTTCCTTGCCTTACCATTCTTTATGACAGTGACGGTGGTTATGCACAACATCAATAACTTCAGTTTAAGTTAGTTTTGAAGGTTGTTAGGCATATATTCACATCAACGACACAGAAGACAGACTAAAGAAAATAATATTTTAAATACAAACATCAAAGTCACAGCAAACCAGAGGCACTAGTCAGGACAGAGTGAAGTCACAGTGAGTATCGAGTGTGAAGAGGGGAATGTTACGACACGCCAAGGAGCTCAGATCCAATGAAGGAGGGAAAATAAAGGAGGGCAAAACAAAACAAGAGTTGAGTTAGATACCTGATGTAAAAATCAAAATACAAACTTCTTTTCCTTGACAGCAAATCAAAGGGGAAAAAGGGGGGAGGAGAAGGAATGCAACAGTGTTAAAACTGTGTTTAATTCAATACCTTCTGACCAATAGGAGGCCACACTAATGAAGACGGGAAGGGAACGGTTAAACTTCAGGAAAAAAAAACAAAAACAAGCAAATGCACAAAGAACTGCAACATGTGTCTGCTAAAAGAATCCGTTTGTGTAAGAGACTGTCAGACGACTGGGCCAGAGAAGGAATCAGTAAGTTTTAACTGTCATTACACTGAACTCAGCATATCGAACAGAAATATCTGTTTTATTGAGCAAAGGGAAAAAGAAAAAAATAGCTTTTTTTGGGAGTCTAATGTAAAAACTGCAGCATGCCTCTCACCATCTTGCGAGTGCTTGTCTCTTGCATGTGTACAATGCATGCATAGTCAGTCAAAACGAGTCCTCATGCAGTCTGGCTCATGTTTACATAAAGACATGAAGTCCTAAAGATAGGCTGACCTTTCATGGTCAGCTACAACCGATGCCCAGCTAAAACATATGACATTCAAGTCACTATTACTTGTTAGAAATGAATGGGGGGGAGACATGCTTAGACTTCAAATTGCACAAATACACACATGCATATACAGACAAAATTAACTAAAAAGTCCACTGGTTTTACCTCTTCTGTTTGTAGGTGAGCATGGCTTCTGAGATGGGGAACTGGTGGGACACGTTGGCACCGGCCAGATACTGAATGACTCGTCCCGCTACATCTATATTATCTGCAGGGAGCCCAGGCACAGATGTCACAGACTTGCCTCTGCTGTTTAGTGTCTAATTAACAAGTTACAAGACAATTGATGCATATGCTAATTCCAACATTTCGGATGGCCGAGCATAAATTATTATTACACCGCTTGGAATTAAGGAGATGGAGGATGCTGAGACTTAAATGCCATCGCAACGTGTGTTAAATCAGCCCGTTGACAAACAAATATACACACACATGAGAAACTGTGTGTAAAAAACAAAAGACTTACTGGATATAATTCCAAAGATGCAACAATGTGCTGATTTAAAACCCATGGTGTTTTTGTCTTAGTAAGTCTATCTGATATATTTTCCTCCTCCTTTCACGATAGAAATCTGTAGACTTGTTTGTTAGGCAGACAGCAGGGCGACAGGTCCTACCTGAGGCAGGCCGTTCCGTCCGGCAGAACAGCTCCCTCCACGCAGTGTCCATGAAGATGTTGTTGAATCGACTGTCAAAAGAGGCCACGTGCTTTGCAAGGGGGTGAGAACCTGTGTCAACATACAAAGGGGGGGGAAAAAAGCTGTGTGTGGGGAAAGAGAGCGAAGCTACGCGTATCTTATAAGCTGGGTGCACACACTCTATCTGACGTACCAATGGGGATCACCAGGAAGCGTATGTAACTGAGCCAGTCTGGCGTCTTATTGGCCAGCTGCTCCACAAAGAATCTCAGGATGGTGCTGAGGTAACTCTGGTCGCCTGCCACTGCCACCTTCATCGTCGGTGGTGTCTGCGCATTGCAGTTACAGCTGCAAAGGGTTAACGCAAAAGAGGAAATGAGAAACAAAGAGCCCTCTTATGAGAAATGTGAGTCAGAGAGAAAGTTCCACATCTGAGGAGAATCGTTCTGCCTCAGCACTGGCAACAGCAGCAGCACCTTTGTTAGGAGTCAGATCGTGCCAGATACCTGGTAAAGCTCAAACAAACCCTGCGGCCATTTTGATATCCTAATCCGACAGTTATAAATGTTACAGAAATTTGCTCTTTATAAAGAGTCTTAGAGGAAAAGAGTTAAACTCGGCTGCAGTCGATTTCCCTGGAATAATGAATTAACCTCTCATAAAGCTGTTTTAAACCATTCTGAATTTATGCATGTCAAACTGTGAAGCAAAACGCCTCCATGGCAGAGATAAGTAATCCAGCTGCATAACAAGGCTCTCAGACATGTGTGAGTCTTGTTTACGTCCACCCCGTGTCAACATTGAAATCATTCAGCCAGCTAAGGCTGTGACAGCACCGAGTGAGCACGCCGTCATCGGAGGTGTGAACGAGCCCAGCTGTAGGCTTCGGGTTAAAAGAGGAGCAGGTGTGTCATGTGTTGACAAGAGGCGCTTCAGCTGGTTTTAGGAGAAGGCCATTTTAAGCGTAGGGTGTAGAGAAACACAGCCCGAAGAGAAAGAGAGAAGAAGGCTGAAGCTACAACCCATTACAAAGAAACAGGCGCATTCAGTCTCTCGTCCGAGGAGCCGCCATTAACGCACACAGTTTAGCCAGGAGCAGGCCGACGTAACGGGAGAGAAGATCACACTTGGATGGCTTGTATCAAAGAGCCGGTGCATGTATGTGCATGTGACTCACAATCTCTGGATGCGTGTGACGATGGTGTTGAAGGCAGCCTGCACATCGGCAGCAGAGCACGTGGAGACAATGGGCTGGCCCTGTTCATGGAGCAACTCGGCTACATACTGCACAGAAACACACACGAGAGGGACACGATGAGCTAATGGACATACAGGAGGAAGAGCGGGTCATGTTTGGAGAGAAAGCCAGAAAACATGCCACTGATACGCTGCGTGCACAGCCCATAAATAAAAGGAGACCCTGTGTCTGAGGTCTATGTGAATGCACTAATGTCAGCAGCAATGCAAGCTCGAAGCATGGCTAACGGGTAACAGCCAGTCTTAATGACTCCTGTTCATACTGAATGTGTGAGCAAATGAACGTCATACAACTATGAAATGTCGCGTGTGGAAAAGCACACACCTGTCCTTGCCACTCCATGGTGTTGATGAGGATGATGCTCTCTGGGAGGCGCTCGTCGGAGATGAGGATCTGGTTTAGCTGGTCGTACACTGACTTTCTGGGAACCTGGGGGCGAAACGAGGGGTAGAGAGCGTGACACATTTCTGCACTGTAGAGAACAGAAACGGGGACGCTTCTGTTCGCGCCAGGCGTGATGTTTACCTGCGCTATTAGCCGGGACTCTGGGGAGCACTCGCTGTCGATGCTACTGGTTCTGTCGCTCTGTGCCTTTGAGTTTTGTCTGTCTTTCATGGAGGTGCTGCGGGGACGTCTCTGCAGCTTGTTTTCCACTTTACTGAGTAGGCAAACACAGAGAGCTCAAAACACACGTCAGACAGAGCATAGAACCCAATGAACTGATCCTGAGAAAACATTCTTTTTTAAAAAAGGAAAGGAGACTCTCTGAACACCAAATCCATGAGGAATACCAGTATCTCTCGTTTCCCAGATGTTGTGATGAGTGCTTTACCTTGGAGACATGTGGTTTTGGGACTCTGTTTTGTAGAGCTTGCCAACAGTGCTGGTCACACGTTCAGTGTTGACGTCCCAGCTGTTCACTTCCCCTGAACCTGGTCCACTGTCATCAATTTCAGGCTCCTGAACCTAAAGAAGAAGAGCAAAGGTGAGCCAAAAAGGCTGGGGGAGGACATTGCGGAAGTTTTAACTGCTGCACAGGATCTGTCTATATACTGTCCAAGCTTTATCTTATATCTTAGCATAGCTGGCAGTGCTCAGACTGATTTGACTGTATTTAGTTTTGGGAGCATGACTCATCATTGTTGCACATGGACAACACAGCACAGAGTCGAGGACGGTTTGATTCTCCCATTATCAAAGGAAACATTGTCAATGCTTCCTAACCCTGACCTACGCTGCGCTACATTCTTTCCCTGCTCCTGCACACCTCATTGAAATACACAAAATCAGGAGTGCTGGAGCAGGGACACTTGAAAGACATGCAGGAGCACTGATCTACACACTAAAAAAGAAAAAAGAAAACTTTGTACGGAAATACATTTTGTGACATTACATAAGTGATGATGCAGGGAATGAGCTCAAAAGTCTAAGTTAAAACGGGTCCGATGAAAACTTAATGAGGGACTTTTTGTTTCGGAACTGTGAGACTTCCAGGCTAAACCCATCCAGGCATGGAGAGACAGCCGCAAAGACACCCAGAGCAACATCAGAGGAAGGCATCTTGTATAACATGATGTAGAGGCCTTTTATTCGTCTGTGCCAAGAGGCTCGGCGTCTTGACCCAGAAAAAGTGGAAGAACTGACGCACGGCGTATATAAAAAAAACATAAGCATTTGTTAATTTATGTTGTTTTTTCTTTTTCTCCATCATAAGTCCCTGAGCTTCCCAGAAACTGTGTCAAAACTGCTAATGTCTCCACTTTGTGTTGCCTTTATGGCAGGCAACAATAACACGCTCCCTGAGTACTCCATTCCATCTATTTTCTCCCCACCGAATCTGTAGACAAAAAGTGTTGTGTCTCATCAAGTTAAACCGGTGCTACTTCCTGTGTTTGGTGCGTCTGCAGCCAGCATTTTAATAAGAGGCGAATGAGCAGAAGGTGCAGCGTGAGGTCAGGAGCTGTAGGCATGGTGGAAAAGTGTGCGGAGTTTTTGAAGTTGGAGATAATGAAGCAGGAGCGCCCTGACAGAGAAGAAAAAGTCTTGGTCTCTTAGCAGGTGGCTGTGGAAACAATGCTCCTGCAGCTTTGATATTCACTTTAAATTGGGTTAGTGGAGCAGTGCGCTGAGACGGCTGGCCTGGTGCTCAGAGGGGGAGCTGCAGCGAGATGAACAAGGTTACAGTGACCCCACAGCACAAAAACAACAACAACTCCTGACACCCCTCTCTCAGCCCCCATCAGTCTGGAGCGATCCAGCGTGGAGCTTGTCTGCTCACTGATCCATAATGGATGACTGTGCTGTTTGCTTTGCCTGCCCTTGCATACTCCCTTTCTTTTTCTTTTCTCTCAGAAAGCGACATAGACCCGTGGGAGGGCACTTGAGAGAAGCGGGTAGGGGAGTTGAAAGAGAAAAATGTGAGAAAGAGATCCCCAAGGGGATTCAGTTTAAATAATGTACTGCTGTTCCAAAAAACATACCCCGACGGTTGTGTCTGTGATGCCGTCATCTTGATATCGGCCTCCTTGCACTTTACATCTGTCCACAGTTAGAAAGTCCCCGCTCTGCAGGGTAAATGTAAATGGCCGCGAGTTAGATCACTGCACTCATTTTTTGGTGTTAGTCTCCACATATACAGCTCATGATGGCCATTCACACATTCACCTCAGAGGAGCACAACTCACACACTGATGTGATTCACTCCACTAAAAGGTGTTTAAATACATCTTGCAACATCTGTTTTAATTTATTTCACTGTCAGATCAAAGACATTCCTTCTTGGCAGCGAGACATGTTTATGGAGTTTCGCTCTAACACAACAAAATGGAGGACTATGGCAGTCTGAAAGGCTCTGGGCCATTTTATTATGAGCTAAAATGGATCTCCAGAACTTTATAAACAGCTTTCCATCTCCTGCCATCAGCCTCAGCATGTCTCTCTTTCTTTGTTCTCCGTTGTAATGGCTCATAAATCAGCAAGCAGGAGTTTGAGGACCGCTCCATCCAATCTCCTCTCGGTCTGTAATGTCTGTGTGTGTGCATAGATGGTGGCAGAAGGGTCAACTGGTGCCGATCCCTATAAATAATGAATGCCTGCGGGGTTGGAAGAGATAAGAACTTAAGTCTCCCCATCTTGTTCTGCTTGTGTCTGAATTGCTTTTCATGCTCCGTCCGATTCCCTGAATCACAATAAGCACAGAAGGCTGCCTGATATCTAAACAGTAGAGCAATTCTTTTATGTAACACTGTTTACAAGAAGCATCTAAAAGCACTGAGGGACACACCTTTGTAAGTACATGGTAGAGCTGAAAAAGGAAAGTGTGTTTGCAGTGTGCCTGGTGATCGACTTACTGGACAGGACAGCTCTCTCTGCTGGCTTTTTTGGCTGTGTATGCTTCCTATCTCTGTCTGGGAACTGGAGTGCGACATTCCTTCAAAAAAGGGCCTGAAAACAGACACACAATTTATACAGTTTACAGATCTATAATATGAAACTGACTTTCTAACCTTTGCCTCCGTTGGATTTGATAAATAAGTTCACTTTGAACACAGAAATTGTTCTACAGCTCCAACATCACTAACAAACACAGAACTGCCGGGAAGATTTGTGTGTACTTTCAGACTAATGACATTTAAAAAACTGGCATTTTAACGTGTTATAAAACCTAAAGTCTGGAAGTTTGGATTGCAGCACATTAGACTTGTAAAACATAACATATTTATTTGCATAACGCTGAAACAGTTATTTATTGAAATATCCTGTCTATTCATCACTTAAAAGTGTGACAGATCTACAATATGCAAAGCAATTCTTGAGCCTTTTACGATAGAGGGAGCAACTCTCCTGCATAATGTACACTGTTTGTTTTTCTGATTTATGTGGAGTGAAGACTGTAATTTGAAATCAATTTAAACCACTGTAAGCATTTTTTCAGTAGTACTTCCTCTAATCTCTTGTTGTTCCATACGAGCAGTCGGCAATAAAAGTCTCAAAAGTAAAGCCTCGGTATTATTGTTGATGATGAAAACAGTTGAGCACACACATACTTGAGTTTGGGCTTTGGAGTGCTCAAGACACTTTCATTGTCCTCCATCTCTGGCCCGCTGTCACTCTGGTTGTACACCTCCAAACTGTCGTAGAGCAGGTCCAGATCCTCCTCCACTTCCTGGGTCTGGTCCACCGGGTCGGAGTCCAGCACCTGCCAAGCAGGTTAACGTCCATTACCATTAAGCAGTAACTGGGGATTTGTCATTATGTACATGGATTAAACAAGTGTAGGAAGCAACTGTTGATACGCATCAGCTAATCATTACCACATCCGGACTAATGGAGCTTAGAGAATGAACAAGAACAATGAGGGTCATAAAATGAAAAAATCTATGCAACAAAAAAAAAAAGAGTCCAGGCAATAAATACATCCAGTGCTCAAGCTCTGGGCAAGGCAATTAAAAGGTAAGTGAGTGATAGAGAGTGAAGGTGCTGCACAGCAGGGATGTATATCATAGGAACTGCACACAGGCAAGCTTGTGGACTAATCAGGTGATTAATGCCACTCCATAAGAGCAGGAGTTGGCAGGGAGCAGATAAACACAGTCTGTCCCCTCTCTTCCTCCCGGGTACGTATTTATAGAGCTGTAGCCTTGCACTCTTCCCAGACACAAGGAAGAGATTAGTTACGGGGAATGTGATAAAAGATCACTGGACCACCTGGTGCTTAAGGACCAGCCAGCAAAACACTGCTAATAATCCAGAGGTTGTTGCGAGTGTCATTAGGTTAAATCAGTCGCGCAGTATTTTGTCTTAGCGGTTTAGATCACATTAAAGCTCGAGAAGTCAGTAAATGTCTTCCAATCTTCATTAAGTCGAAGCGCCTATGCGAGTGGAACAAAGCAACAGATGTTGCAGCTGTTTCTATGGATGCCACTGTTTAATGGTTCCTACTACCATTCTAATGGCTTTATGCAGATTACTCATGGACAAGGTGATGCAGCTGCACTCAACTGGACGACCTCTTTCTGGTGACCTGATTACAAGCCATTATGCAAAACCAAAGTACTTGAGAAAAGAAAAACATAATGCTCGGAAGAGCATTAATCATCAAATTAACGGTTCACTGATGTGAGTCACTGTAAATGGAAATATATGAATGGAGAATATCCACAGAAGTGATGCAGACCACCGCCGTGGCCGCTCCGTTTGGACAGCGATTTCTTCACTCCCCTTCAGTCAGGCGCACAGAGGATGTGATGCAGCTTTATGCTGTTCAGTCAATCAATACTGAGATTATTTTTCTGCTGCCCAAAGGGCAATTTAATAACTGTGGTGACACCGCTGACTAACTGGAGTCGTCAGAACGGCGGAGCTGAGAAAATTCCAGGAGAAAAAAATAATGCTGTACATCACTCTTCTTTTTGGAAAACTCACCTCATCTGTAACCTTGAACCTCTTCAGCAGGGCCACAAATTTCTGCTTGAAATTAGGTTGCTGCAACAGGGAAAGTATAAAAAAAAAAAAAGCAAAACACAGAATTATGACGGAACGGTACGGACTGAAAACAGGAATAAATGCAAGATTTAAATAAGCATGACAGCTGGGGTTGGGTTTATAAATTCTCTCAGCTAGTGACTGGATTACTCATTCTATGGAAAGACCATTATAATCAGTCCAGTGAACCCACAGTGGTCATTTACATGCTCATCCAACTTGGCCTAATGGCTTCAGCAAATGGAACAAAGTGTCTTCTTTCTCTTAAAAGCTTGTGTACCAGCACACAAAGATCTTGAGTTATTCTCAAAGTCAATGATTGATGAGAATGAAAAAAAAGAGAAAAAAAGAGGTTGGGGTAACGGCAACTCACCCTGGTCATGGAGGTGGCTCGGATCATTTTCCTTCGGGTTTTCTTGGGCTTCCTCACTTCATCGTCTTCATCATAAAGATCCTGATAAAAAAGAAAAATGCAGAGAAGGAAGATGAAGTACCAGAAATATGAATGTGCAACTGATCCAAAATGTTGATGGCACATTTAATCTGAAATAGAACATAGTTTATGACCCAAAAAAAGTATCTAAATTCCCTTTTTTTTGTATAGCATGCTTATAACGACAAGAAGACTGAACTATTTTGATGAACTGCTATTTGGAATAAATAAATAATATATATATACGTGTATATATATCCTGAGGAGTGCAAATTTGTCAGGGACTTTCTGGCACCAACCTGGGCATGGACTGCATCATCACTGGCCTCCTGCTCTGATGAGTAGCTGTCGTCATCGTCCTCTGAATAATTATCCATGTCTGGGGAGCGGTCTGACAAAGGGCAGCCACAAACATATGCAAAAATGTCAAAACACTCATTTCTTGCAGCATTTTGACAAGATTGTGGAGAAGAAAATTAATATTAATTTTGAAACTGAGTTTAAATTTTAAATGTAAGAGAGCATCTATTTGAAATAAACCCACTGGACATGGAGAAACTTACAATGCTAATTATCCTTTCTGTCTGTTCCACAATTCTTGATAAATATGAAGGTGAGCACAAGGGCTATTTCCCATCTTGTGTGGAGGAAGTTGCTTGATTTTTTATATTTTGTTGAGCTTCTCACTGATCACTGCATCACACCTAATTAAATGCAACATTTGTCTGCTAAAAAGTTCTGCAAATTAGATCGCAGAGCTTGTTTTGTGACTGCTTTACTGCTTTTGCTTGACAGCAAAGAATCAAATCAGGTGAAGGAAGATACATCCCCCCACCCCTGTTTCTAACAGCTCATTCAGATTTCCTTTTGCCTGTGAAACATCCTGTTCTGTGTTCCTTGGTGGGATTGATGCAATTCAGAGCAATTCAGAGCCACTGCACTGGGATAGAGATAAACATCTTTCCTTCCCTTCCTTTTCTCAGAGTGACACTAGTTTAATACTTGGTGTATGAGCTCATTTGTTATGTTTGAGTGGCCTCTTTAATAACATCCAGAACAGAGAGGGATCGGGCACCAAGTCCGAGCAGGCCCCGATATTCCCCAGCCCAGAAATAGTGCAGTGTAAGGTAATAGGCCCTACATCTGTTCAACTCTCAAATCAACATTACAGCCATGGCTGAAGAGAATAACATATCCTTGGCCTTAGGACGGCCTTGGATTAATAGAGTTTATTCTGTCCTCAGCAGGGAAATAGGAGCCATGTGGAAGGAGGGAGGAGAGAGGCCTTAGCGGGGAGGGCTGCCTCTGGGGTGAAGGCTGAAATGGCATGCAGGATCTGGCTCGGCAGTGTGGGCACAGGCCTGTCTAACAGACCCGCTGAGGGGATGCGTGAGATGGCACTGCCAACCTGAAGTTTTGGTCTTGCGGCCAGCTTGTCCACTCCCATCCTCATGGTCGATGGGCTGGCTGGACAGAGAGTACACGCTGATCTCCGCCACACGCACTGGCGCCTCTTTCACGTTGCTATGGAGACCCAGAATTTGTCCTCCGTCTGTTGGGTGCTGCATCACCTGGACATAGATTTGAAATAGAAGACTTTTTTTAAACCCTCTTTTCTGATCCCTGCAATAATATCTTGCAGAGTGACTGCAAGATGCATGGATGATGCGTGGATTTCATGGGCCTCGGTACCCGGGGCTCTCTGTTTGCGATACCATCTTGTATTGTCAACTGCTCTGTCTATCAGTCACTTTGAGAGATTGAAATGGCCACTGCTGCACGGCTGCATAATCAGAGATTTACCAGCAGATCTCAAGCTGGCAGGTACACCTTCTGTAAATAAATCTTTAGTAGCACAATTCTGCGTTTTTTGCATGCACAAGCCGATCTGCACGTTCCATCCGGCAAAACTGTATAACCCAGTACTCACAAACTGTTTTGAATGAGATCAGAAAGGATGAGCTCTCATGTTAAGCTCTGTCTGGGGGGTACTTTCAATATTTCACTAGACGAATTGCTGCACAGGGAGAAGGCTCTTTTTGCTCAACCACTGGCAGGGGCGCACTTGAATGCCCCATGCAAAGTCCATAAGTGGCTTCCTCCCACACAATGTTCCGATAGACTTGGAGTGGGGGGGTTAAAATAGGGTTTATCGTACAGCAGATGAGGACGTAATTACCCAACAGGATCCATTAATACGCGATCTTGCTTTATTCATAGAGGTCTGTGGACTTCTTTTTTGTGGCAGCACAGCAGCTGAGTGGTATTTTAAAATACAATAATGCATTAGTCTTGTTTTCAGATGTCAATCAATTCATGTCCTGCGGCTCCTGCTGGAAAATAACTTTGGCTAAGGACGGATGGCACATCTGCTACTGTAATTAGGAAAAAAGAAATAGCACCTGCGTTATCCCACATAAACATCCCCATCTCATCTACATCTCTCCGGCACAATAATGCACGTTTATTCATCTACGTCTGCTCCGGGATGCCAGACTTACACCGAAAACATCGGGCCACTTTAGTCCGGTAAGGTGACTCAGGCAATAGCAGAGCAGTATAAAAGAGCCTTTTTTCCAAATGTTTTTAGACAATTTAATAACCTTTTGACTGTCCGGTGGCCAAACATGAATTGTGCACAGTACACTGAACAACCAACCGCACACCCAGCTGAGGACCCCAGCTTTAAATAACTCAAGTGAGAAAAACAACCAAACAAACAAAATCATATCTCTTATCTAAGCAAACTCCCCAGCTCCCAGTTTTACAGCACAGCATGGCCGAATGTGGCGTTTTTAGAGAACTGCATACGAAAGCGCTGCCAGATGGTCCATCATTTCGCACAGCGCAACTCTACGTGTGATGAGAATGAATCATCAGAAATAATGCGGGTCCCAGGAGACTTTCTCTCTGGCAACCAAGACATGATAGTCATGCCAATCACTGTCAGAGAGGAATTCAATCGCAGGCCTGGAACAAACTGACCTGTTTCCCAAGAGAGAAGAAATGGCTGACGATGACATATAAGAGGAAATGGGTGAAAGCGATGCCCCAGTTGAGGCGCCACACTCTACCTCTGCCATATTGATGACTCCCACTGCCAGAGTTTTGTAGCCCAGGATGGTTCGATTCTTGTAACGTTTCCTTCTTTGCAGCATAATCTGCAGTCTGTTGGCATCCCTCTTAAGGAAATGGGGGTACTGAAAACAAGAAACGAAATCAGACAAATGCAGCAACAATATGTGCTCAACAGAGGAAAACCTGGTTCACGATTATTGAAACCAGGTTCCCACAAACAATTATAATAACAGGTTTACAACCAGTTATTATAGTCATCACACATGCAGTATTCCACTCACAATTTCTCTGATTCATTTTTTCTCCTCCTCTCTTGTTGGCTTGATAGTCACAGCGGCACTTTAATATACGTTTTAGAACTTATATATTTAAATATGAAAACATCTGGGCTATGTTTCGGGCAATCATATCTCTCTGTTACTTTTATCCTCCTATTTTTAGAGTTAGTTTCTGATCTTAATCTTTATAAGGAATTTCCTTACACACTCAGCAATATTTTCTTACTATTACCCGCTTTAACAGCATGGCTGAAAATTATTGCTTTAACTTTCATGTCTAACTAAAGTTTTTTTAGGGTTTGCTTGCCAGTGTTTGCTTACATTATTCACCTTCAGTAAAACTAAAACAATGCTAGTTCTTTGGCCTTATTTTGCGGCAGGTAAGATTTTCAGATATCACCTAAAAGTTATTGGTGTGTAAACAAATGCAAATTTCAACAAAAAGGCAACTATATGGAAACAGCGTAGGTGGAGCAGTATGTGCCACATCAAGCAGGATCTTAGCTCAGACTGCTACAGCTGCTGATGAACACAAAGCAGAATGTGCACGAGAGGGGCAGCCCTAACTGTCCACGGCACATGCTCTGTAATTCAAGGCACTGTCGGCACAAACCTGTCCAGCAACAGATGTAACTACATAGCCACCTTCACTGTTCACTTAAAAACATAAAAGCAATATGCTTCTCTCACACACATGCTAACCTTTACCACTAATGTAATTAAATCTGGTATATACTGTGTGAGTGCCAAAAAAAAAAAAAGAAGTTAACACTGGAGCACTAAAGAAAGGGCACCTGGGTGGATAATGGCTTCTACATATTCTCGTCTGTCAAGTGACTGGCAAATCTGTGCGAGAATTCACAGCCTAATGTCAGAGAGCTTGCCTGTAGTGAGAATGTGAGCTCCAGGTCTGTCTCCATCAGTCCACTGGGAGGAAGGGCATACTCATTTGATCTCAGAAGGCGCTTTGAACCCTGCAGGGGGACAAGTAAAGAAAAATGACAACGTGAGCACACAACTGCTGCACACCAGCTTGCTTGAGGGCTCACTGCTCTACCACTGGTGATGATAAACAACGAGACAAATGGTTTCCATAAAACGAGAGTAGCTGTCTTTTGTTTCATTCTTTGTGTAAATGATCCCACGCTGCATCAATTATGTTTGGGTCTAGTCTCTGGGGAGAATTCAACACACCATAAAACCTGTTGTCACTGATTTTCAGTCCAGTGCTTGTGTCATTTTGGCACAGCTCAACATTTTCTCCCCATTTCCTTTCCTTAAGAATGGCCCTCTTGGCAGCCGCCCTTCTGTGAAAGCCATTTCTGATGAAGCTTCAGAGAACATTACATGGACCAGATGCAGCTTTCTGTTGGATTTTCGCCCATGTCTTAAGGACATCACTTATATCCTTGTCCTTGTATCGTGCTGTCAGGAATAAAGGGCCTAAAGATAGAATTTGGCAAAAATTCTTTGTTAAATATTTCATTATGTGTAATAATCAATCATTCTTTGTGCTCAGCTACAAACTCATTCAATGAATAACATTAAAAAACGCACGTGGCTTTGTGCTTTCTCTCAATACTACTTATCTTCCATCGAAGAATAAAAAACTATTTCCAAATTAAATGTGTAAAAACCACAACAAAGCTGCGTACAGCTAGAGGGGGTGGGGTAGCTTTGAATCAAATGCATTTATATCCGAGCAAAAGAAAACCGTCTTCACACATCACACTTATTTTGTTGCTTCTAACAGGAATTCCTATCCAGACAACAGGGACTGAGTGTGCAAGCCTCGTTTTAGTAACAGCCTGCTCAATAATCACACATTTATGGAGGTTCACACCTTAAGGTATGCAAGAACAAACAGTCCTCTACTGTCTTTACTGCTTTCTAAAGAACAGCATTTGAAGAAGAATGCGGGGAGATTTGTAGAAGTGAAATAAACTGTTCAATTTAAGTCAGCAGAGGACAAACCGTGACCATCCTTTTGCTTCTTCTATGAATGGTAATGACTTAATCACTCGCATAATCTTTGTGGGAACTTAACAGCTACTGTTTCGTGCCGCCATGAAAAACCACACTCAAGATTAATCATCTAATGCTTCAGGTTCCGGTCCAGAGAGACTGATCACCTGAGCTAATTGGAAGAGCTGGCACAACATTGTTAAAAGGTTTACATGCTACAAGTTGTGTCTCTTTAAAATAGAAAGCCAAAAACAAACAGTTTAGCCTCAGATGACCTGTCTTATCCCTTAACTTGCTTCCCGTTCACACACAGGTGGATTTGAGTCTCTCATGCTCACTGTTAAGACTCAAGATAACTTGGACCTTTTTTCTTTTCTAATCTTGGAAGAGGGAACTTACGAGGACATATGTCATGATTTTATGTCTGTGAGAGCTGAAGCCAGACATAAGTTGTGTAAGACTTTTAGCAACTCTATGCCAGCCACTGTGAAGCAGAAGTCATCAGAGCCTCGCTCAGGTATTTTGGTTGGGCTCCACAAGGGAGCAGCTTGATGGAATGGGTAAGACATTGGATCCTAATGCCATCAGGACTGCCAAATCATGTAAAAGACACCAAGTTACACAGTGGGGTGTGTGCTGAGAAATCAACACCAGATAGTTCGTCTTACACGGCAAAAATCTCCAGGTCAGACGGCTTGCAAACTCTGGACTTTGATCTGGTGTGAAAAGTGCACTGTGACTTTTGAGGCTTTTGAGACCTGTTCGAGTTTCCACAGTTCGTTACGACCCATGTTTCATCCCTGTCTCTCCGTCTGTGCTTTCTTAAAGTGCCATTAAAGCGCTCTGTTAAGATCATTTCAAAAGTCTGATGCAAATTAAGCTAAAAGCCACAGTAGTGTCATTGAGGCTATAAAACAATTAGGGTGTTTAATTACTTTTGTTATACAGATTCATTACAGTAATACAACCTTCTGCATATTAATGAGAAGGAGCCACGTAGGTACAGATGATAACTGATCATTATTTTAAGCTGAATCATAAAACTAAGGCCATCCATTAAAACAGATATTACTCTATTCTCTTATTTAGTTAATTGCTACAAACACTGATAGGTGTAAGGTGCATTTAAAAAGGTTTCACCACCACAGAGTAAACATCATCATTTCTAACCAGGAAGTTGTGCAGGCACTTGTGCAGAACCTCCTTTATAATCAATGGGCACTGGAAGGCGGTAAAAAGCTTCCACTGGCAAGTGAGGCTTTTGTGAATGAAAGAAAAAAAAGAGAAAATGTCTGCGACTGCGTCACGATAATGCAGGATCATGTAAAACTGTGCAGAGACATGATTAAGTACCTTTTATAAGAGACCTACTAGTGTAAAACGTCTGTTCTTCAGGCATGGAGATTAAAAACTGTCCACCTCTGTAAAGACCGTGCTCGTTCAGCTGCAGTAAGCATTTCCTGTCCATGCTCGTGCTGAGAGGAGCCTGACCGTAGCCGCGGCTCCTCTTTTGTGTACAAATAAAAAGCAGAGGGTAAATTTCAGAGTCTGACCTTGTAACTAACCGAAGCTCCACAAAGACGGCCTGTGTGCAGTCTTTTCTCATGCTCACGGCCTGGCACAATGAATCAAAGCACAGAAAGCCGGGCTCTCTGAAACTGCATGACATGCATTAACAATACAGAGCCTTGGCAAGAAAAGCTTGCACTGAATGTGCTCTGGCCCCCTTTTGCCCGAGTTCTCTCTACTGTTACAGCTTCTCTACTGTGTTTGGGGCCAGATATGAGGGGGTGGGCCTCAGCGAGCCTGTGGGAAACATGAGTGCAATGTTACCTTTTTAATACATTAGGCTCTCCAAGCTGAATTCATTGCTTGCATCAAGCGAGGCATCACGTGGAAAGACGTGCCGTTAAGATGTCAGGGACTGTTCTATCTGCAATTTTATCTAAAAGCTTTTTAAAAAGGCATTTTTGAGGTTTCTGCCTTTGGGCAACTAGCACTGATACAGACATGTAATTTGATTATATCTCAGTCTACAGAAAATGGAAGTGCTTGGAGCGTCAGCTTCCAGTGAAATGGGAACTGCATGCCTTTCCTATCATAATCCAGCTGACATTCATGTTTGGCTACAGCCTAAGGCGACTGCAGGATAAACGCATAATCATGCAGACCCTACAGTGAAGAGCATGTGCAGCAGCATGCCACAAACAGACTCAGCGCAGAGATTTCAAATTCTGGCCCGACCGGTTCTGGGTGTACTTGAAGTGACCCGGCAGTCTCCTGGGTGACAGACTCAAGATCATCTTCAAGGAAACGAAAGTGCAATCTCATCATTTCTACCGCTGCGGTTTGGGAGACTGTCCGATTGGCTGTTCATTACAAGGGTTTGTGTGCGCGCACGCGGGCCACTTAACTTGATGAGCCCGAGAGAGAGAAATTCACAGCCCCTGATGGTGATGAACAGGCAGGCAATAACGTGAGGTAAATGAATGCGCGGATGCAGGACCCTGCTATTCCTGTCATCTCTTGCCTGCTTGTTTCTTTATCCCTTCAGCGTCTCTGTTCTCCCTTACCGAACCTGCTGGAAATTGCATTTAATGCTCCAGTTCCGGAGCTGAGGCGAGCCAAGCTTTAACCAGCTGTCCTCGGGGCAGTTCAGTAGAAATGGGGAGATTTCACGCTACGGAGACAGAGTAACTCATGGATACGGCCACACTCGGTTGGCCACATTCTCCTCCAGGGTGACAGCAAAGAGAGGATAATTTGTTTCTCCTTAAATAGAGTTCTCTACTTTTGCATATAATTCCGATTGATGGGAACAGCTTTTAAGAATAAGACAGAAAAATTGTCAATTGTAAAGCATGTCTCTCTGTACTACAGTGAAAAGTATTTTATTGTTCTGCCCAAATCAAATTAATATCTGCTCTCTCTTCGCTTGGCAGAATTGTGTGAAGACCGTCACCATCACCGGTCCCTGAAGATCAACCACTTTGTCACTCAAATGGGTAATAGTAATGTTAATACTGCTAGAAGAAACTGCAGCTTTTTCTTTTGCATACCAACATTTTGGCTGTTTTGTTACTGTGCTTCTCCCAAATTCCAGTTGTTGTTTGTTCTCGGCTCATCTTTCAGCTTAAGTAGTTTTCAGCAGTGATCTACTGTACTCACAAAGGTCAGCACAACATGTATTGAAGTACCACAAATGTGAACATATGGCCATGACTGTTAGCGGAGCGGGGTTGTTGCACGACACACCAAATTCTCCACAAAGGGGAGAGTGCAGGCATAGAGTTCTTTTTTTTTTAATGCCAGACATGTTGATTGAAAACTTTCTCTTTTGGACCTTTTTCATTAATGGTGTTCACAGAGCATACCTGAAAAACAATACTAAACAAGTGAATAGAACAACTAGTAGGATATAATCATTCAGAATTACAAACACATTGAATTTTATCAAAAGAGGAGGTTATACCGATCCCATTTCATCATTTTTTGGGAACAAATGCTGAGGCAGGCACTGGAACTGTGAAGCCTCAAAAGGGGATAAAAGGAGGATTCTATCCCTCCTGCTATTACAGGTATGTCCTGCCAATTAGCTGACACACTATCACTCCATGGCAAACTGACACCTGGAGTGCTACTGTTTCATAAAAATAAAAAAAGCACTGATGTTGAGCACTGTTGTGACACACAGGGTGTTAACTTTTTTGGCACCGTTCCTCAGATATCTGCAGCTTTTGTCTTTCCTGGTTAGAGAGCGGTGTGCATGCATGATGTTGATGCCAGGCCTTTTTCTGAGGCCGAAATTGACTCTTCATGCTGACAGCCCTCAGAAAGAATTTGGAACAACCTGCGTGCCTCTGTGAGAGCACTGTGTGCTGCATAAGAATGTAATTGAAATGAAACCTTCCTCATGCATTTTTAAAGGGCTGGTTGATTGTATTACCGTCTTTGCAGTGTTAGACATAACCAGTGGACTCAATTACATTTCATAACAATGCGAGGAAGCACCCACCTCACTGAAAAAAAGAAAAGCAAAATAAAAATTAAATCAAACAAAAATAGTTTCACCTTTGATGTCTATATCCTGGTAGTTTTTTTTTTTACCTGTGACTACACTGTGTAAAACCTGAACCTTGTCTGATCAGGTGTACGTGACAATATGTGATCGGTATAATAGAACAGTGGTGTTGGAATGGGACATTCAAGTTTTTTTGTTTAGTTTTTTTGTTTGTAGAGTGTGATGACTGCAAAATTACTTTAATGTAAAAATAAATACAGGCAACATGTGTATGCACAAGCAATCAATACAAGATGCACAATCCATCTTAAGGCGCTAATGCTCCTGCTTAGAGTGGTAATGCCACGGTACCATTTAGAGTACCTGAGTGGATGTGAGGCACTGACTGCAGCTTTCTGTGCGACGGTAGTGGGTTTTATCATTCAGCGGGATTAGCGGCATGTCTCATTATCCAGGCGACGTGATTTACTTCAACGGCGTGCAGCAGCGCACCGAAAGACAGTGCAGCACAGGCCAGAGTGTGACACACTGCTATCTGAGGTCTTGCAACTGAGCTTGTTGTTTGAATCACACATAGGAGCTTAAGTCACCCACCTGTATTTTGACAGCTATAGACAGAGAGTTCAGCTCCTTATCCAGTTCTTTGAGGACAACCAGCTTTTTCAGCGTGAGGCTGCAGAGCCTGCAGAAAACAGGGGAGACAACATGACAGATTTAGAGAAAGTGACACATATTTGTCTGTTGCCGTCAAGACACACTGGATATGCATCACTACTAAAACTACAGTGTTATAAGCTATACTAATACAATATTTTACTGTGGTCCTATCTTTCCTCTGACTTTAGTTTTTAATAAGCATTTAAGACGTGGCCTATTTTTTTCATGTTAATGTGACTCAGATGTGATTGTTTATGACTGCGTGAACAGTTATGTTGCACTGAATATTTTTTAAATTCCTTCAATCACTAACTCTATAACTCCCTTAGAGAGGCGAAGCACAGAAGTGCTGTTATGTAAAGATTCACACCATTCCATTCAAAGGCCTTTTCTTCGAAGAACATTAGCAAAGAAGCTCTGACAAGTCATGCATCAGCCCTTTTTGAGCTAAACTTTTGTGGCTCCATTCCATCCGTTTATTATTAGATTAAATCACCTAGGAGCCGAATCCCTCACATCTATTTTGGACATTTTACTTGCTATTTAAATGCAATGGAGAGCTTTCAAGCTGTTGTCCTTAGTCAGTCATACAAAAAATAACACTTGTATTTAAGTGTGTCCAAGCAGAAACGTCTTTGGCAAAGTGGCCACTCTTCTTACAGCCCTGTAACCATCCTGCACCTCTTCTGAGAACTGTGATTACGCTGAGATGTCTCACTTTTCTAAGCAATCCTTTGTCACTTGGCTGAATCTCAGCCAGAGTCAAACAGGTAGAGGGAAACACAAAGCAAACAAATAAACCATTTTCTTTGAGAGGCACTCCCCTATATTCAATGACTTCATTCAGACACTCCCTGCTCAGTAAGTCAGATTCCTGAAGACTAAATTCCAGCATAACAAAACTGGTCTTTAGAAACAACAATGAACCTGCAGTTATGACTTGAATTATCCCACTAAAAATTGGAGAAGCCATCTTTTTTCGACATATGCGATGTAAAGGGGAAAAAATTTTAAACTCACTGACCTTTCCGTGACTCAACAAACACACAGTGTCTTTTTAACCTGCAGTACTTCACACTCACACACCTCTCACTGACTCTTCAAAATGACTTGCGCGCAATAAAAAAGAAAGTTATCCAAGAGTCATGATGGGTGTGGTGGAGCTTTATTCAAGCAGTGAAATGGAATCTAAACACAGTTCAATTAACAACAGAGGCAGACTGTAGGTTTCCAAAAGAGAATCTCACTTTTTCCCCACAAATTACAAACATGAATCTACAGTAGATTATTAGATATCATTTGAGTGTAAATTGGAAATCTATTTGAGGCTGACATAATTAGATATCAAACCATGGATATGGTGCCTGGAGCGCTGGTCATCAGAGTACCACTCAGGCATAAATGTCCGGCTTGAGGGACACGGAGAGAGGTGCTGATGTGTAGCATCTCCATCACCTCACTGCCGTCTCCCACGTCCTCTGCAGACACTAATCCAGGTGTAATTAAATGGACTGCCAGCACTTGAGGGGTCACATACTGTAACGGGGATCTTTTTTTCTGATGAGACAGAAGCATTATAGCTGCGTTCGCGCCTGCTGCTGTGTTTTGTTGTAAGTGAAACTCGTGGCCATCTGTCCTGGCCCGGTGCCCGGCGGTCCCCGTGCTCCGACTCAGTGCCAGTTTGCTCTGCCACCCAAACAGTAATCTCAGTGACAGACCAGGTGTTTTGCAAAACCAATTATTGTGCTAAAACAGCCACTGTTCACGGGATTTAAAAATCATTCATTTGTGTTTAAATCTGATGCCAATGTGGTTGTGATGTGTCTGGGTTCTGGTCGGTGGTAGGTGGCACCAAGTAAAGATCACAACAAATGTTTTTCAGAAGTCCCACGAGAAGATGCTTTAACCATCCAGACCGGCTCGCTATTCCTCTGGTCCCAGAGACACCCTGGGTTGGGATAACAGGACACCTCACAAAACCAAACAGTCTTATCAGCCCAGAAGGGCTGAGGTGGGCGGAGCCTCTGCGGGGCAGACTCAAGTTCAATCTCTCTGTGAAAAGTCGAGAAGAGTGCAAAGATAAATGGGACGTCGCCTGTCTGTTTCCTAGCTGATAACAGCCCGTGAGGGGAATTCCTCTTTAATTTTTGATGCTCGTGCTGTTAAGCTCTCCTGATTGGGTTAGCATTGATGACGGTTTATTGATCCTCGCATGCATTTAAGAATCCCTTTGCTGGTTTTAACAATAATGAGGACATCAATAACAACCGAAAGCAAAATGACTACACAGCTTTGTGACTGCTTCAAAGCATGTAACTATAAGTCTAGCTTTGCAACATTTTACACTTTAGTAATACAACTGACATCCACTGTAACTGTCAAGTAACAACCTAAATGACTAATTCTACAAAGTTTCATAAAGCCAGTAAAAACTGTCACTTAAAACTGTCAAGGTGGTATCCTCACAAAACGTTTGGCGCATTACCTTCTTTTTAAACAAAGAAGTTCCATCATAAATTAAAGAGGTAGATCCTCTTACTTGAAAACAAGAAACAAATACACCTTTTACACCATTCATAATTAATTATTCAGCATACCAAACTGTTTTAATGCTAAGCTAAAGCCCTTAAAGGGATATGTATGACTTTGTTTATTTTCATAAGTTAGCTTTGTGAAGTATGTGCAGTGCATATTTTTGAATAAGTGGTTTTGGTACCTTCACTACTCAACAGGACTGAAAACTGGTGAAAACCAGCAAAGAAAATGAAGGAAAACGCAAACCCTTGTCGTGGATATTTACATAGCACCACGGCTAGAAAGGGCAGTACATTTTCTCAACCGAACAACCCAAAGAAAAAACAAGGACCTGGTTACACGAGCAACGTGTGGCTGTCGTTTAAAAAACAACAACCTGTTCTTCTGTTATGAGGAGCTTTATTCTTCCAAGAAGAAATCGTCTTACTTTCCAAATGATGACCCCTGCACACCTCCGCTAGACGTTAGGCAGCACTTTCAGCTCATATTATGTCATGCAAAGCGGACAACACATCATTCTGGAGGCAATTCACAGCAAAGCAGCCAAACTGGATCAAAATAACACGTTCAGTTATCAGCATTATCAGCAGGAGCAGATTTCCATGCTTGATTCAAACTTATGCCATGCATGTAACAAATATAGATTCTTTAACAGCAACTGGCTGCTCTGTGATATCATGTGAAAATGAAAATGCAGAGTTAATGAGAGATCCGGTAGGCGTCTGAGCACTGTGAAGCTAATGGGTTTAGCCTATATGCCATCACTTACAGCAGCAACAGTAGTGCCGCTCCATCTAAGCCCATTAGTCTGCCCTAGTCACCCACTCACTACATGCTGACCTTTTGGGCCTTCAAAGTAGAGCAAAGGCCATGAGATTACAGTGCCATTTCTGTCTTTTAGATTAAACCGATGGCCTCCTGCTACGCAGCGATATTACAGATTCTGAATTATGGAGGTGGCAAATGCCTCTTATTGTGTGAGAAAAAACGTTCAAGAAAGCACCAGATCTATTTCTTTGTTTTTTTTTTTACAGTGCTTAGTTTAAATCTTAAAACAATCGTCTTTGCTTAATCGGGGAACCGACAGCTTATACTGAAGTTAATATGTACTAAATGATGCTCTCTTTGTGGCAATCACACAGCCCTCTCCCGTTTATCTGTGCAGGACAAACAAAGCAACTTATCAGGTGGGACAGTAACAGCTATGGTCAAATATTTGACTTTAGATAAGACTTCTGCGATGGTGTTTTAGGCGAGGGTTAGATTATCGGGTTCCCATGATTTGTTTTGTTTTAAAAATAGAGATTGACAAACATTTTAAGCAAGTTTGAGGAAACGCAGATAATAGCCTGACTCAGCCAAACTTTTATTTCACCACCAGTGCAGACCCAGTAACTTGGACCAGCTGAGTCAAACAGATGCTGCAGCATCAGAGGAAACCAAATCAATTGTGGGAGACGGATTAAAGGGAGACAGCGAGGTGGAAGTGGAAGCCACACAGATTCTGCGCCGGAAAAATCCTCTTTGTCATCTCCTCTATGACCTCACCCTCTGCTGACACGGCTGGCTCTCTTTAAACACACCCGGGGCCCTGTGCAGGTTACGCTGTAGTTAGATGTCGATGAGGACCTCTGGCTAAGCACCAAGCTTCAGTCATACCCCGCTCTGCGTCTGGCTCTTTGGTAAAATGACACCTCTGTCTAGAAACTCCTTATGTAACAGCACACGCAGTTTATATTACACTTGCCGTTTGAGGTATTTGAACATAAAACCTCAAACTTTTTCCCTGGGGAAAAAAGTTTGAGCAGATTATCTGATATGGAGAGTCAGAGGGAATCAGCATTTAAAATTAAGCCTGGAGCACTGAAACCCTGAAGCCTTTTCCTCTATGCAGTCCTTCTTTTAGATAAGTCCAGAACTAAAATGAGCCGCTTCACTCACGCTTCATAAAAAGGTAGATCCTTTAAGCCTTTAATGTTTCCACACGGCTACCTTCTTGCCAAATGCCACATACAGTATGAGCTTTTCCATTTACTCTCTTCATAACAGATCATCTACGACATCATAACAAAAAAAAAATGTTTTTTTCAAAGCAATCTGACAAAGATGTGCTTCCATTTAGGAGTCCTTGTGGTTACTATCATCGTGCTATTTGAGGACGTCTCTCTGATGGCAGCGTCTCAAATAACCTGGTGATAGAGGCCCTCTTAACTTTGAGGGCCCACAAAGAGACGGCAGCGACAGTAAAAGCCTCAGCACTCAAACAAAGAGGCTGTCATCGGGCGCGACACATGCGAGCGCCTCAAAACTTTCATGATGTGTAAAGCACTGTGATTCTCGCATGCTGCGGCTCATGCGCATGGCATTGGAACCACCGAGGACGGTGAAAACCCTCTGAATTTAACAATATGCTGCCAAAACAGAAACAGCCATCTTGCCGCTCTTTAACCCCTGGTCAGCATTCTGGTTGATGTTTTACCAGTCCCATGCCCTCGGATCGCTGTACAGCTACTGTCAGGGCACAAAGCGGGGGGTTGGGGGTTGAGTGATGTAACAAAGTGCTGGATGAAAAAAAGAGACTATGTTTGGTATGGGCAGAAGGGTTTTTATGCTGCTTCAAGTAAGGCTTTCAGAGCTTTCAATGTTCCATTTCTTGTATTCTCTGCGAGCATGTTGGAGCATAATGCTCTGCATGGTATTCTTAAGTAAACTCTCTCGTACTAGGTCGCACATAAGGAAAGAAAAAAGGAAAGCCTGAGCACTTTGTTCTTCAAAAACTCTATGATTTGTTCATGTCTTGATGCATTATTTAGGCCAAATAAAGGGTACGCTAGTTTGAAAGCTACTTCCTCTGAATATTTGATTCGCTTCCAGCAAACGCGAGGAGTCTGACCAAGGTTGGTTCCATTCTACGGAAAACTACTAAAATATGCTAATATGGCAAAACGCTGCAGTTTATTGTCTCTCTTTCTCTCGCTCTACTTTCTTTTATTCTT